GATAACCAAAATTTACCATCAATGTAAGAAAATTGTATGAGGACATAGGTACATAATTAGAATATGTTGTTGGCCAAATGAACAGATAATAGACATTTTCTACACATTATATACAAATTATTACTATTTTTCACCTTTAGCAGAAAACCCTTTTAGGGACGCTTATGAAACTCTTTAAATTTTATTGCTAGGCGTTTTTACACATGTTCAACTGACTTCGGAAAGACTATAAGAATGGTTCTCACGATTTAAAAGTGGTCGTCAGGCCAATTGAAGATGATTATCGACCAGGAAGGCCTTCGACTGGTGAGTGCAAATGGCCGATTGACTCTCAGAGAAATTGCAGAATATATTAGCATCTTAATTGGGTCATGCCATGAAATTCTGGCTGAAAAATTGAACATACATCGAGTTGCACCAAAATTTGTTTTTAGTTTGATGACGGTACAACAAGAATGAAATTTAAAAAAATTAAGTTCGGTTATTTTATGAACAAACCTCGTAGGTAGTTAAATTGTGTGCCCCTATCAAAATAGTTTAGGCTCAAAATTGATTTAACGTGCCTGGTATAGCAATTCATAATTACGTAATACTTAGATTTACCGCATAATACAATAAACCAACTTAAAGAAGGTAAAAAGTTGTAACTGGTAATAATTTTATACAAAAAGGGTATAACCCTACGCAAAAGCGCCTAGGCTTAATGTTAATTAACATCAATTTCACGATATTGTTCATTTTCGCATAAAAAGTTATGGTTAAATCCATTTCTTAAGAAACAAAAAATATCAAAACAAAAAAGTTACCTGTCTATTCCATCGTTGAACTCACTGCTCAACCACTTGTAACATTACCCGCAGACCGGCGCGAATAGAACCAAAGAAAACAAATTTTGGCTAACCAAATTTTAACAGAGATAACCGCTGACAATTAGAAATGATATAATATTTACCTCAGTCCGAGGGATCCTTAAAGCCTAAACAGTTTACGTCTTGATTTTATATGTGACAGAAAATAAATCATTGTTGCGATCTACAGCTTCATAAAAATAGCTCCCTAACCTTCGCCGATATAAAAGCATAGGATAAAAACGAAGGAAATACATTCTACGATTCGGATATTAAAAAGTTATATCTACATTAAGCACTTCTAATGTTCTGACGCCATGATATAACAGCGCAATTAACTTTTATTATTGTTATGCATGTGAATGGAGTAAGTATCCACGTGAAAGTATTTATTATTTATTTAAATTTACCTACAACCGACTGATACGTTGGAACGACAAACTAACTGGTAATCTCTGTTTAAATATCAATCCAATATATCGCGAATATAAATATGTATAGGTAGGTATATGCGAAAAAAGAATTGGATTTGAATAAAATTTACAATTTAAATATTGCACACATCAGTTTGTAGGAAAGAGGTGTAAACATAATTCACAAACATCTCTCAGGAATCTGCAAGGATATGGCTATTTTGATTCATAAAATACCCACCTAAGATTTTAATTTGCTACGTCTGCAGATAAAAAAAATCTATACACTTTGCATAACCGACAAATAATCAATTTTGCTTCAACCAAAAGTTTTTTGGGAAAACTGACTCAATACGGCTATTTGCACGGTGTAAAAATATGTCGAATGAGTGTTTTGGATCGTCGGCTGGGATGTCCATTCATCAGCAAAGAGCATTTTTCCGAATAGGTAAAACTGTCACAGTACCAAATCAGGCGAATACCTGGAGCGATTCACGGATAAAATCCGATTTTTAGTCAAAGAATCGGTAATAAGTGATGGCACATTACCGTCAGTAATGGTTTAGCGGTTTAGCAAAAAAAGAGTTGTACCTTGACAAAAATACTAACACCATACCACCTAGGCCACTATTTAAGAGACAGTCCGTATACCCTGATGTGTTTTCGACTTGCAACTCTCATTAATTAATTTGTTATTAACATTTTAGTGCAAAAACGCGTTTTTTAGTTTTTTGCTTATAAAACCAAAACTACTAGATCAATCTCAATTCTGTAAATGGAACAGTTGTAGGAAATTAAATTTCGAAGAAAATGAGAGGTCGAGCGATTGGATCGGTTGATTAGAACCGGAGAAAATCCGGAAAAACCGGAAAATCAGGCATTTTTTTTCAAAAATTCATAACTTTGTCATTTATGAAGATTAGGAGCTGAAATTTGGCGCAGAAGTAGATAATTATATCATCTTTAAGTGTGTTAAAGGCAGGCGCTGTCGGACCAGTTTTTCGGCAATTGCAATTTAAAAATTTTTATGCATTTTTTTTTCGAGCGCTTCCCCTCGTTGCCCCACTACTCGCGCGCTCGCGCACTCTCGGCCGTTTACACCGATGTTCAAGTGCATTTTTCATCCATTTCGCTGCATTTTAACGAAATCTTGAAATATACATTTTAAAGTATTTTACTTCTAGTTTTGAAAACCGGTATTCGATTTAAAATCGGACCATTTTTAACGCAAGCAGACTCCCAACAAAACAATCAAACAAAACTTAATATTATAAAATAAATCTCGACTTGCGTTCATCCAGAGTAGATTTTTTATGAATTTAAACTTTACGATGATTTTCAAAGTAATATACGCGGTTACGCCAACAATTCTGTATAACTTCATTAGAAAATCATAGAATTTTCGCCTGAGTAACACTTCTTTAAAAGCTTGGCAATGATTTTATCGATTTTTCAAATTTATTACCCACTTTAATTTAAATAAATGAGTGAAGATTAATATATTATTCCATAAATCTTGTCTCTGTACTAACTTTGGTTAAATCTGCTCTTTAAACAGAGTATCTACACTTCATTTAAGATAAGTTTCCAATGACGTCACAGAGTGAAACAGTACAGTGTTGCCAGGTTGCAAACTTTTTCAGGATATTTAAGAAAATTAATTTTTAATATCCAATCCAGTTTATTAGAAATGTAACCTAGAATCACATATTATTTCGAAAATTTAATTTATTTAGGAAACAGTCAAACAATTAATTTTCATTTGGAATAATAATTGTGCAATATGATTCGCAATGTTATCAGACATAACCTAACATTTTTCACATTGTTCTTGGCCTGCCTCTTTTTGACAAATAAATAAATACGTTCACAACCAAAAAAAAAACAGATAAGTATAATTTTAAGAGCATGATAACCTCAAATTCTGTGGATGATTCTATGCTGAGCTGAGCAAAATCACCTTATACAAAACAGCCTCGTATGCAGCTAGTCTTTTGAATATGGCGCCTTGCATTCAATTTTTTTCAAAATTTTGGCCATAATTTTTTTATCGTCGACTTTTTGATACCTCTGACGATTTGAAAAATTTTATATTTTTCTAACATAAATGTGCTCTTTTTTATTATCGCTAAAAAGCACCGTTTTGGAAAAAATCCTTTTTAATTTTTCGTGTTTCCTTGCATATATAACTAAATTAATTTCAAAAAATATAATTTGGCTTTGGAAGTCCAGCAAAATAATGTCAATTAAACACAACAGAAATTATTAGTTGTTTGTGAAACAATCATTTGTTTATTGATGTAAATATGTTAAATTGCGTCCTGAAATAAAAATTAATCAAACATCTTTACGCTATTTCAAAACCTCACTTGCGCGCTAAGAAAGTAAATCAAATTGTAGCATAATTTTATTAGTTACCAGATAGTTAGACGAACGTTAGAAACCACGCAAAAACGGCCTTGACAAAATTAAATACATCAGATGTTATGAACCACGTATGTCTGTCTTGAATATGAAAATCAAACTTTGTCGCCTAAGCAGGAGAAGCATAAAATTCCGATTGGAAGAACATAAAATTGATACGAAAACACTTAGTCTTCGTTATTACGACATTGTAAAATTACCTATTCATAATTATTTATTGCAAAAACTAACAGAACAAGTTTTATTTAATTATAATTACAAATAATACTGTTTTTTTAAAGAGACTGTTTAAGAAATTGTTATATGGTAAATATTAGTTTCCTACGGATTAAGTAATTAACAATAATTTTATTTAAAAATCAATAAATAAAAATTGATTATGCCATTCGATAGAGGGCAAACAGTAGCCATGAAAAAGTGTTCTTCTTTTTTCAATATCACTTCAAATAAGGCTGAAGTGAAACAAAATCGGATTTCCAAAATTTCTTTTTTTTTCAAATATTTCGAAAACTAATCACGTTAGCCTTGATTTTTTAGCTACTTCGTATCTCTTACCGTTTCCGAGATCCCTGTTGTGAGAAGCGAATTTGTAACAGCCTGTATTTTCAATTACCTTTACTCAAACGCAAAACACAAAAATTTTAAGGTACAAATTCACTTTCCTGTTTTCAGCCTTGTTAAAAGGACTTAGAGAAGTGTTTAGGCGAACTTTTTTCTTCAGAATGAAGACCCAAAAATTTAAAAATCGCCAAAATACAAATACATGTAAAGAACTGGTTTAACAATTAACAAATGTCAGCAGGTTTTTTTGGCTACATTTCTAAAACATAAAATGAAAGAGGTCTTTTATGCTTTTACAAATTAGTACAAATCTGCCAATAACAAAACTGATACAGTAAAATTCAAGGGCAGCATCATTTCTGCATCAAAACCCACGATTTTCCTTCACTATTATATATTTTTGTCTATATGACCCAGTAAAGGTTTTTGCATTTATTATTCAGGGACTCGGGGACAATACACAAAAGATTGTACCTACTTGCACAAACCTCGGTGGTAATTCTGAAATAATTGCAACACACAGCGTTTTTACAGAGCACATTTTTTACCAAACATGACTCATACATTTAAATAAATAAAAATCTTATTAACAAGATAGACACTACACAATATTTATCGGTAATGGATGACTTAATTAAGTATAAACAAAGTAGAAGCGAGATAGGAAAATAGTTAGTTGTTTTTTTTATTAAAAGTAAAAGTGAAATATTTAAAATGAATCAATGAATAATAATTCTTGCGGCCTATAGCTTACCAGTAATAATACAGTATCCTAAAATAATTATCACAGTTTGCACAAAACACGTCTTCATATTTCTCAATAAAAAAATTAATAACTCCGGCAGGGATACTGCTAATGTGTCAACATCTCGCGCTCAACTGTTTGCCTAGTTTTTACCTTTTCAGCGGTGAAGATAATTACCTCGCGGAGAAGAGAGGGGTCAGTGCTTGCAGAAGGAACCGACACTTGGTGGTCACACACCTTAAGTAGTTCCAGATAATCATTTTAATCATCAGTCCTGAAAAACGACAAAAAAAGTCAATATAAAACGTTTTCTATCACTTTGTGACAATCACCTTTTCAATAATGATAGGTTGGGACAGTTCGTTGGTCCTTGACTATGCCTAGATCCTTCAACTAACTCAGAAATTATTTAACCTACTTTCAAATTTACTGGACCTTCCAGTAATTGTACATTACTTTATTCATTTATTTATTTGTTTATTTATTTGTTTATTTATTTATCAGAATAATTTAGGAGCTTGCAGGCATACTCTGCTTTTGAAAATTGTAATGAAATATTTAGAAGAATATATGAATTTGTGCTAATTTATTGGGGCGTTTTTATGCGTAATTTTCACTTAATTTTTAGCAGTATTTTGACTAGGGTTTTAGAAAATCTAAGCAAGTTAGAAATAATATCTCTTCATGGTATCAGTTTTACAGGTTTTTCCAGATTATAAGACCGTTTAGAAGCTGACAATACATTCAGAATAAGGAAAAAAACATATTTTTACTTATGTTTATCATTACATTTTCTGAACTTTACATGCCTGTATATACCTACAGGAAATTGTCGACAAAATTTCCGATAAAACAGGAAAGATACATGCCGATGTTTACATGTTCACACAAGTTTTGCATAATCTTTAGATGGAAGTCTTGTTCTATTATTGTCTTACTAAAAGTGAGATTTCCTGTCTGTAAACTAATCCTGTGTATATAAGTAGAAATGAAAATGTTATACTTAGATGATAGACGATTATACAGGGTGGCCAAATGAAAACGAAACAGAGCCATTTTCAGGAACTTCGTCAAGGTTGTAGAAAAACGCTCAGACTAGTCGATTTTAGATTAATGGGTGACATTTTTTGCTAGTATTTTAGACTCCGCCACTTTCACCCCCAAGCAAGGGTAAGCATCACCCCAAAATATTTAAACACTTTGAAAAAAATTTACTTTTTAAAATTTAAATTATGTTTAGTTGTTTACTTACTACTTAGTTGATTAAATGTTCAAACTGATGACCGCCCGTTTCCATACAAGAATAAAGATTTTGTTCGAAACGTTCGCGCACATTCTGAAGCATTTCCGAAGTGATTCGACGGCATTGGTCGACGATTTTTTGACGCAATTATTCCAGCGACGCTGGCTGTGTTTTATAGATTTTACTTTTTAGGTATCCCCACAAAAAGAAAGGGGCCACTCAATGCTGCCTCTTCTTCCAATCCAATTCCGTAGAAAGCGTTGGTCCAAATACTGACGCACAATTAACGCATAATGCGGAGGGCAGCGTCAAATGATCTTCGTCATACTCTGGAACATTTTTAATTATATCAGTCAAGACAGGGTGAATAGCGTCTTCCAGTAATTGTAAATACATTTGGCCAGTCAAATTACCAGGTAGAAAAAAAGGACCCGCACCAGCCGGTCACTGAAAATTCCAGCCCATACATTTAATTTTTCCGATTGCTGTGTATGCACCTCGTGAAAAACTCTTGAGTTTGAATCGAACCAATAGCAGCAATTGTGACGATTTACCATCCCGTTAAAGAAAAAACTGCATTCATCAGAAAAACAGATGATAAAAAGGAACTGTGGATCGTTCCCTGCTCGTTCATTCATTATTTCGCAAAATTGCAAACATAATTATCCCCATGAAGTTCCTGGACTAAATGTATTTTGTATGGATGGAATTTATTCTTCTTCAAAATGGTTTGTATGCTAGTTCGATTGATCCCAGACACAGATGCCAACTGCTTCGTACTTAATGTGGGATCAAGATGAACTTGTCCTAAAACTGCAATTTCACTAGCTTCATTAACTATAAGTTTTTCAATTTCTCGTTTTTTATTGGATGCGTTCCCTGTCTCTTGAATTTTTTTTACTAACTCTAGAACATACTTCCTCCTGACATGTCGATCTTGATGTTGTTCATTAAATAGCTGAGCTGTTCTATTAGCACAATTAGGTATTGTTCATAAAGTAAAGCGAAATGATATATACCCTTTCCGCAATGGAATAAACCATAGTGTTTAATTTTCAAAAACACAATTAAATAAACTACCAACCAACGCTTTCAAATAATACAAGAAAATAATTTGGAATCCATTAATTTTACGTTCATTTTGTGTGTATAGCATTCATTTCTATTTTTTATAATTGTGTTATAAAAGTGATAACAAATCGTCAAAAACCAATGTAACTCAAGAAATACTAAATTTATACCATTGGCGTACTTAACTCGAATGACTGACATTTTTACTGTTACTAAGTGTTTGTACATAGTACATAAGTTTCAACTTTAAAATCAAAATTCTTAATAAGTATTGGGCGGAATTATAAAATTTAAAGTAAAGTTAAATTTTAAAGTTTAAATTTGTAAAGAGAATTGTAAGAGCTTTCAAAAGCAATATTACTCAACCTCCAATGCCATTTAAATATTTTGGGGCCACTCTCACCCCCTTGCTTGGGGGTGAGAGTGGCGGAGTCAAAAATACCAACAAAGAATGTCCCCCTTTAATCTAAAATCAACGGGTCTGAGCGTTTTTCTACAATCTTGACGCAGTTCCTGAAAATAGCTCTGTTTCGTTTTCATTTGGACACCCTGTATTTGATCAACTTTTTATCCTGTAATATCTTCCTGGTATCCTGGTACACAGGGTGTTTGTAAATAAGTGCGAAATATTTTAGGAGGTGGTCGCAGAAGTTATTTTGTGAAAACAAGTTCTTATAAACGTAGGTCGAAATATGCTTCATTTACGAGATACAGTGTTTAAATTTTAATTTTTTATTTATTTTTATTGATTATGTCAAAGAATTTTAAAGATGTTGACTCGAAATTTGATGGTTGTGTTTTATTTAGAATTATTGACAGCAACCTACTAGGTATAATGTATCAATAGAAATTAAAAATGCAAAATTTGCAGTAAAATATGTTTTATTTTTTCCTCAAAAACGGTGCATCCTACGAAAAAAAATGAAGAGACCAATTTCATTCAGAATTGACGGCGGATTTCTAAGAAAATATCAACACGAGAAAAAGTCAATGGCGTGCGATTTTTTTATTAAAAAAGATTGTGGGATTCTCGCACGAACGCCACTGGTACAAGTAGAAATATTTTGATCACCCCAAAAAATGCACATTTATCCCTCTAAACCGTTTTTCAATTTGAACAATTTTGACAATTTGTGTAGTGCATATTGTCTATTGGTAAGTACCTATAGTCTATTTGTAATTCGTTTATTCGTTTAATTTTTGTGTTACTTTTAAACGAGATTTAAATAAATAAATATCAGCATTTTCGAACACAAAATTTAAACGATATCATCCCGCGCTAGCCTAAGGGCCACCTTAGCAAAGCGCATCCCAGGCTGCATAGCCGCACTACCCTGCCCAACCATACCACACATAAACATGACACTACCCCCGGGGTTTACACAGACGAGCCGGCGAAGCAAGAAGAGCGNAGTAGAAAATCCATCCAGGAAGTGGCGGTCTCTACTAGCGTAATGCCAAACTAGAACAACTTCGTAATACGACATAGCAATCGACGTAAAGATTTCTTTAATCGGTAACTATATATTCTCAGGACATTGGTAAGTCTATTCACCTACGAAGGCTGTCCAGGCCTACACGAGATGAGGCAGGATAAAGAGGGATAATCCCCCTCGATCCCAAATCATTGAGGCCAACTTCTAGCCATAGAATAATGGCGCGAAACGATATCGTACAGAAATATCGAAAAATACCCAAATACAAAAAACCTTGTAAAAAATATTTAATAAATTTACCCATTGTTACAATGTTTGTAAATAATCCAGTGAAATTATTCAGCTTGCGCTTGCAGGTTTACGTCTCTACCAGTTAACTGAAGCGTCTGCAGAAAGTAGTAGAGGACCTGAAAATTTCCCACCGAGAGATGTCCCCCCGTGCTGTTACAGCACAAGTTAAATGTCGTTCCATCGCTGTTTAACAGGCATCAATCCTCTAAGGAAAGTGTTTGACTAATTTTTGATGGGAATTGGTTTTAATAGTTTTTTCTCAGCGAATTAATCAGACATTTTACTGGCAAAAGGAATCTATTAAAACTAGACCGCGACAAAATTGTTTGGCAATTACATCGGTGGATTCGAAAAAACTTTAAAAAGTGACGAATTAAAGACGCGCTTCTGAAAAGAAATCGATTTTTACATAAACGTTTCGAGGAGATTACATGAATTTGTTCCACATTTTAAAAATAATAATTATTTGAGTACCGTAAAAGTTTGTTATGTTTTTTTTTTCCAAATCACATTGTAATAAAATTCACATAAAAAGATAGGTAGGTACCTAACTAATAAACTAGTTTTCACGATTTTTAAAATATAATTACCTTGCATATTAATTAACAAACAAGGGTAACAGCTACGAGTATAACTGCCTACTACTTTTCTACTATATTAAATAAAATTTCAGGATGGTAGACATACAGTATTTAATTAGTTAATCAAGAACCATATACTTTAATTATGCATACAGTTCAGTTTAATCAATTAACCAGTGGCGTCAGAATTAGAGGTGGCTGAGGAAACTCAAAATTTCGAATTTATTCGCGAATGCAGCTAAGAGCTCGCCCTCTGGCGGTGACAAGTGATACTAGCGAAACAAGGTAAACATTTCTTCTGTGTGACATTTCGTTTTAATCCAATCAGTTGGAAGTTTTGCCTGTGAAGTTTTAGGGGAGTTTTGAAAATTGGTATATTTATAGATTTTGACGTGCTCTTTCCGAATTTTCACTTTGCCACCTCTTTTTTTCCGGAAGTAGCCGCCATATTGGAAAAATGGTGCTCCAAAACAGGTTTTCGACGATATTTCCTTTCCGACTCACTTTACGGTGAAAATAGTTATGTAATAAATGGAACTAGAGATCATTTCCTATAATTTATGTATCAACCTTTTTTCTGTGAAATGAATAGTTTCGGCGTACGAGCGCCGCAAAGTCTTCTCCAACACGCGTATTGGCCAACAAACTCATTTCCACACCACCATGAGGTAGAGTTCCTGGCGCGTTTTTTTTTTTAGAGATATCCCCAGTAGGCCTAATCCACATGTGATGATTAAATTTAGTGCATTCTACTTCGCTTCGCTATCCCTGATGGACCAGGTTTTGCGAGTTCTTCGTCTTCAGAACTGAGCAAAACCTCACGGATGGGAAGTTCTTCTAAGTTATCCGCGATAGGGTTCTCTTCTTCGATTTCATCACCTTCTTCCTCGACTTCGTCGAAGGTTTGCTAAAGAACTGTCTCTGTATATTCCTCTGGATCATGTCTTGTAGAGCAACATCCGAATTGTCGCAGGTACCTACCATTGCAATTCGCGCAGATAACGGAGCACTTTAGTCCAGCCTTTCTGCATCCACAGGCTCCCCGATATCCTTTTTTACATTTACAAGAAATTAGTTTTAGCAGGTTTGCTGGAGCTGGGGGCTCGAGTGTGGTAACAGGAATTAGCCCATTCTTGCTTTTTTTCCATACCCACCGCTCTGCATTTTTTCCAACTCCATAAGTCTGTGTGCAAGACAGTGATGAAGAGGAAGATACGGAGACAGTTCTTCAGCAAACCTTCGACGAAATCGAATAAGAAGGTGATGAAGTCGGAGAAAAGAACCCTATCACGGAAGAACTTCCTATCCATGAGATTTTGCTCAGTTCTGAAGACGAAGAACTCGAATAACCTGGTCCATCAGGGATAGGGAAGTGAAGGAGAATGCACTAAATTTAGTCAACAGTGCTTCACATGTGGATTAGGCCTACTGGGGATATCACCACTAAAAAAAAAAACGCGCCAGGATCCCTACCTCATGGTGGTGTACGCCGAAACTATTCATTTCACAGAAAAAAGGTTGATACATAAATTATAGGAAATATTCTTTAGTTTAATTTATTACATTATATTATTTCCTTTATAATTACAGTGTTAGCAAAAATTGCAACTTGACATCTATCTCCTTTAATAGGTACTACCACGCTAGCATAAACTTTAACCTGATATATTATTTCCTTTGAAATCACCAAGTCAGTATAATCATAATTACTTATAAGAGAAGAAGAGGGGTCAATGACCTCCAAGCGTTTAATTACATTAAAATCAATAACTCGTCACAAATATTTGATTAGAGGGGGACTTGAGGTACATTCAAAATTATAATTTAATAGAAAATAAAATTGAAAATGGCAATTAAAAAATATTTTTATTATAGTTTTGTACTTATATAAAATAGGTGCAATTTTTTAAATTATTATTTACATTTATTTTAATTATTATTATTATTATTTACAATTATTTTGTAACATTAGAGCAGGCCACAAATAGACCCTAACAGAATCATTGGTTATGTCTGAAGAATGATGACGATGTTTTCTCTGGTTGCATCTTCAAAGGCGTTTGAAAATCTGAAAGATGAATAATATTTAGTTTTAAGTACATACAGGGTGTCCAGAAAGGTCATATCAAAATGAATGTGTATACAGGGGAGGTCAAAAAGATGTAGTACTTCATATAAAAATTTTTTAGCTTGTTTATATTTTTTAAATTTTTATGATTTACTTTTCAATTCGTAGTCAATTATTTACCTACCCTGTATTTATCATTAGTCGTAAAGAGACATAAAAATGTTACACTTTTTCTGAAGTGTTATTTTAATTTTTTGATATGTACTAAACAGTTACTTAAAATGAGTGGCAGCAGTTAGATGTATGTATGATTATTATTATTATTAATTTTAATATTACCTATTCTTCAATACCAGTACTCGGAAGATATACCCCCTCTTCACATTCATCTTCATATAAATTAAACCTAACAATTAGGTCCATATAATAGCTTCCTCCCCCTTCACATACGTAAAATACAACCTGCAGCAGGTCCCCATTTCACTGTAATTTAGTTTAAACTCCGCAGAATAAAATAAAATATTGTTCATTATAAAATTGATATTTATCACTTCCCCCGACTTGAAAAATTTTAATATCACAAATAAAAATGTTCCAACTGAGGGAATTCGGTATTGACATCTAGAGCATCGTAGAGTAGTGATGGGAGATTTCGAGTGAAAAATCGAGTGGTACTCGATGATTGAGATCACTCGAGATATCTCGAGATGTTTACTCCACCACTCGAGTGATTATTACCCTACGGTTGCACCCCAAAATGTTAGTGCATACTGCAAATAGTCACTGATTGCGTAACCTTTTTTTTTATACTAAAACGAAAAAGTGGTTAGGTTGTGAAGTGCGTGAGCTTTTTTTTTTTAGCTACGCTTATAAGTAATATATGACTAATACAAACATATTTATGCCCCGCTGGGATGAAAACGACCAATATCTCGTATCTCGAGTGATCACTTGATTATTAGAAGTACTCGATTATCAAAATTGGTCGATTATGCCCATCACTATCGGAGAGCATCTAGATGTCAATATTGTCTAGTGATGGGAGATTTCGAGTGAAAAATCGAGTGGTACTCGATTATTGAGATCACTCGAGATATCTCGAGATGTTTACTCCCACCACTCGAGTGATTATTACCCTACGGTTGCACCCCAAAATGTTAGTGCATACTGCAAATAGTCACTGATTGCGTAACCTTTTTTTTAGAATAAAACGAAAAAGTGGTTAGGTTTTGAAGTGCGTGAGCTTTTTTTTTTTTTAGCTACGCTTATAAGTAATATATGACTAATACAAACATATGTATACGCCGCTGGGATGAAAACGACCAATATCTCGTATCTCGAGTGATCACTCGATTATTAGAAGTACTCGATTACCGATAACTCGATTATCAAAATTGGTCGATTATGTCCATCACTAAAATTGTCAATACCGAACTTGCTTAATAGCAATAGCCATTTTCTTTCGCTCTCAGCTTTCACGAACACGAACTAGATCCATGAATCCAATTTCGAAGAGAACAGGATTTTGTTTACTGTTGACATTTGATTTGATTTTAAATATCGTTTAAGTATACCTATTTTTCTGTACACAAATAAAATAAAAATAGTAACTGCCTTCTTACAGATAAAGGAAACCACTACAATTTTAAGGTTATATTAAATATGTGATCGTGATCAAAAGTTCGAATCACAGAAAATGTTTGATTCATAGGGGAAAGGGGATTACCGATCCTGATCATATAATCTGACATAATCCGGAAACAAGAAAACAACTACGAACATGATTTTGGGATCATAACGCGTTTAGATCCGAAAACGGCACCCGAAAGTAAGCAGCTAATATTCATCTGCCACAGATATTGTGCGGTTGAGGAAAAGACATTAATTGCAATTATCTAATCGATTATGCCACTATCTCAACAAATACCGGCAAAAATATCTTAATCTAGTATACTTTAAGAAATCTATGATGGATAAGAATTCTAGATCGCTGATTCTGTAGATCCCAGCGATTTAAAGTCGTGAGACTGCATGGAGAAAGCACGCTTACGGCCACAGTGTAGACGAGTGACAGAGAGAGAAAAGGATACTTTGGTTACTGTTCCTCTCTGGCACAGGGAAATGATTGGCTAACGCAGCTTTCTCCTGCTGTCCGCTCACCAAGAGAGAGTGAGAGAGCAAGTACCCAAACTGTCGGGCTTTCTCTCTATAGAGTCTACACCTTTTTACACGCGGTGCTTTATCCAAGTAGTATATGCTTGAAGGCACAGACGTAGCGATCAGATTTTATATTAATGCGCAGCACTAAACATTTCAACATGATCTGGCTAAATATCCCCTGGGTAAAGGTCAAAAAAAGAAGAAGAAGATCCTCAACACGATCTGAACCAGAGACAATAATCTGAACCATAGAACCAAAACAGAAAACAAAATGATGGTTGGTTTTTTGCTTAACTTATCTTGAACTTGAACTCGGTGTATCACAGTAGTAAAGCGAATAAACATAAGTCATTTCTGATTCGAAGTGCTTTGTGATTTAAAACATTTTTAATACGATAGTGTAACAATATGTAAACAACAAGAACTCTAATATCATGTATGGCTATAATAACAACAACCCTTTGAAAGCCCCGGCTTCAAATCGCGGAAAATCTCATTATTTTCGCGGACAACATTCTAATAGTTTTCGCGGAGAGCATTCCAATAATTTTCGCGGACAACACTCGTATGACTTTCGAGGACAATATTCTAATAACTTTCGTGGACAACATTCCAATAACTTCCACGGACAATATTCTAACTCCAATGATTATTTACAAGACTTCTCTTCTGAAGCTCACCACAAGATTTATGAACAAAGTGGGCAGATGGGTGCTCCTCAGTACCAGCACAACTATTACAGGCAAATGAATGTTCCTCAATCTCAGAATAGTCGTGATCAAACAAGCGGTTACCCTCAACATCCTCACCCAACTCTTGATAGAAGTACTACTCAGAGGAATCACAATTATAATCGTTCTCATCAAGAGAAGACTGTTCGTCATGGGGATGAATATAAGAATTACACATGTCCAGGCTGCTGTCAACATTTTGATTTCTCAGGTATACTTGGTATTTAAAACAATTACAAGTAAAATCTTTGTTGCAGGAATATGGGGAAAAAATGCTTAATTTTTTTTACAATTCATTAAGTTAAATAGTTAGTTTCCTCAGATCAAAATATACCGATTTAAATTGAGTTATCTTAGTACAACTTTACTTACTCAAAATTCTTTGTTTGTACTTACTTTCTGTAAGATGACTTCCATTGCTGTTTAAAATATCTTAAAAATTAGTATAGCAAGGTTTTTGGGAGTATCTGAGGAAAAACATAAGTTTTGTTGCCTTATTCTTTTTTGGTACAGATGTTTATGAAAACAGATATGTAACATAAAACGTCACTTTATTTAGGTTAAAAAAAAGTTACATGTCTCTTCTGTTGCTGAGTTGGGGTTATTATTATTATTCTATTATTCTACAGAATACTTTTCCTGTTTTACTTATGACATTAAATGCAATTAGTATTTATGAAATATTATCATAGTTCTTTTCTGATTGTTAGTAGGTAGAAGCAACAGATATTTTGGAAGGATTCCACTTATTTTGAACTGTCAGCATACGGTATGCCAAGACTGCATTAATAAGGAAGTAACTGAGAATAGCATTATATGTCCTCTATGCCATGTACCATCAGAAATACCTGACAAAGAAGGTACTGATGGTCCTGGAGAAGCATTCATTCCAAATTTTTACATTCTGGGAATGATTGCTTGGGCGAAACCTCCAGGAACTCAGTTGCTCCTAGTATCTCAGCCCACTACGAAAACCAAAAAATCCATTGCTGCAGAACAGGTAGAACCACCAGAGCCAGAAGGAGGTAAAAACATTTTTTATTCTCACTCTCAACATTTAACTAAACTAATTCATAACATAAACAGAGAAAAACAGATACTTTGACTTAGAGTCCCTACGAATATCATTTATTTTATTCCAAAGATAAACCATTTTTTATTTACTTTTTTTAACTTAAAATATTTTACATAATGTGTTAAGGTGGCCATATTCCCGGCCGAGTAATAGTGAAATTTCTGGCGTTTTTAGGTACTGAAATCTTGAAAAGTGAAACGTGTAGAACAAAAGTAAGCACAAAAATAAAATCCTTGATGTTTTGTTTATTCATTGTTACCATTTAAATTTACTCAAATAAAATAATAACTAAAAAAAGCGTTTGTAAAACATGCGTTTGCTGTTATTCTAACCCCACATTTTAAGAATTATTTTCACGTACTTATAAATAAAAGTAAACAATTTTATATGTAGGACTAAGCAAGTAAATATTATAAGAATATTTACATGTGGAATTATATATAAAAAAAGTTAGTATTTTCGTAGATTTCAGTACCTAAAACCTTGATTTGCACCTGTTTATTCGTTTTACTGCGGCGTCTTTGCAAATACTCAGGTGGCATGACATAACATTCCTATTATTTGATAAGCTTTAGATTATTCAGTTATTAAATGTTTGTCTTAAATTATTTGTCTTTGCGGAAAACACTATTTAAAGAATATGGGGCCCTTAAATCACTGAAGGAATCACACTTTATTGTTTGTGTGTGTTTGTAGATAAACTTGATTATGACCCTGTATACATGTGTTTGTTTATTTTGCCCACTGATAAAAATATCTTCATGGCAAATATTTACGTGTAGAAAATTACACAATAATTTCTTTCATATCGGGAACCAAATAAAAGTAATCGCACAACAAAAAATATAACATCATTAATGTTTTGAACAAAAATTGTTGCTGTGGCAGTTATATGAGTTGTTCGATGGAGCCAGATATAGAAAAACTTAATCGACTGAATAAAATACTGAAGCAATTCCAAAGTTACGACAAGTAACTTAATTTTAGGCTTATTCGCACATCACCCTACCCTGACGCTAATTTTTTTAAGATTATAATTTTGGTTATTCCATTTTTTTAAATTTTTTATGTTACTTCCCTTTTATTTTGTTTTTAATCCAATTTTTTTTAGAAAAATGCGGTTTTCTCCCCTGCCATAAAAGGGCGGTATTACGGTGTCGGGACTGCAACGATGTATTTTGTGTGGACTGTTGCACGATGGTCCATAAGAATGTGAAGGCTATGTGGTCGCACGTACAGGTGCAAATTACTAATGGTAACTTTTCCGCAGAGCTGGAAAAGTGCTCCGAGCACAATACCGACGTCGAAGTATATTGTAACACCTGCAGCACCAGCGTTTGCTGCTATTGCTTCATTGAGAAGCACGAAAGCCACGAGAAGGAATATTTATCGAAACTGGTAAGCGATCGAATTAAGTGAGTTATAAATTTTGGCATTTCAGTTCATACACTAAATCTCAAAACTAATATTAAAAAAATAGTAATAAATCTACTGTCCGCTTTCTATGCCATATAAAAAAACAGAATTTCTCTATATTCTATATGATTCAACTAAACTTACTTTTAACCAGTTGCTTTGTTTAATCATTCGAGTTTTTATTTTTTTCCAAATAACTCTTCGTTGTTGTAAAGTTATAAAATATGACATTTTTTGGCTGTAATGTTGTGGCCTATGTATCTGGTTGCCACCAGTTACTAACGCCTTAGCTTTAGCTAAGAATCTTTAATCTATTGTTCTCGGGCTAAGCGCTGTGGGGACCGACCCTCTATCAGAACCCCTAGACTCGCCCTGATGTTTGTATCGGTTCTTGTTGTCGGTTTTTAGGTCATTGTGGATAGAACTGTAGCGGTAGTGACTTCTGTAATTGGTCGTATCTGATGCTTTCAAACATTTTGCCATTCTCCACTGTCGGCATCTTCAGTGGTGATTCTGCAAAAGCTTCACCACAGCTGAATCCTCTGTTCCTATCCATGGGTCTTCATTTATTCTCCAAATATTTTGGGATATTTAGAAAAAAACAAAATTTTATTTTGTTTTCACGATATTTGAAAAGCAATTGTTCACTTTCATTTCGTTTGTGATAAGTACTTCACGTTATTTCAAAATGAAACGTCTGTAAAGAGGCATTTTAACATATGCTAATTTGTTACAGAGCGCGGAGGAATTAAATAATTTTCATGTTTACAAGGATAAGGCGGAACAGGTGCTCAGACAACTCCTAGTTTCGAAGAGAGTAAGTTTTTCCATACAAAAATTTCTATAGTATCCTCTTAACTCCATTTCCGTTTATAGAAACTAAAAGACCTCTGCGAGGGGGGTACCACTACGATCGAAAAGAACATACACGGCTATTTCCGCGATCTTTTCGGTCGGCTTCATCTGTTCCAGAAAAAATTAATTAAGGAGCTGTCTAGTTTCGAAAACATAAATAAACCCGATAATGGTCTCGCACAACTCATGTCAAATTTGGACAACTCCATAAGGACTTGGAGAAATATTCTCGTGGCAGCTGAAAACATGGACGGGAAAAAGATTAACCTCAGGGGAATCTTGCAAAAGTTGAAAGACATAGACCAAACGCCTTGCTATTTATTGTTCGACTCCTCTAATGGTGCAAATTTTACAGAGTAAGTAGTTTCATCACGTTTTTGCATTTTTTTTTAACTTCGGTGTAAAATATTTTTGACCGTTTGGGATGCCCTGTATATGTTTTATTATCACATAACTGCAATTTGTTATGCAAGGAATCTAATTACAGATAAACACTACATTTATATATTATACTTGACATATGTTATTTATATACTGAACAACTATAATAAAAATATCTAATCAGTATTATCATACTTGTAATCGAAATTATTTATTTTTCATTTAATTGCAAGCCGTTAAAATCCTAAGAGTAAGAATTAAATCACCCTGAAATGAAATTTTCTATTGAAGATAAAAGCACAAATAAATTTTTTTTAAAGATTTTGTCCTAATCCCATATTGGAGAACTTGGACGAGCTTTTCACCGTAAAGCAGTCAAGTGATTATAATTTGCAATTGGTCAGCACAAACGACTTGCCGCCGGATTATGTAAAGGATCCTACTGATTTGCAGTACGAGCTTGATATTTACGGTTCCAATAGTTCATACGGTGGTAAGCTTCACCGAGTTTGTTGTCGATAGCGGGATGATTTTAAAATCTATAATTTTAGCGCAATCCAAAGATGAAAGTAATTCGTACAATAAAAAAATAAGCTCTCAGACCGGACCTTGCCAGACTAAAGGGAAAAACTTTGGACAGAGGAAAAAAATTGAAAAAAAAGCTATCAGAGGTAATATTTTCTTTAAATCTGCACAGTATAATTGGGCAGAGGTAATGATTTTTTTTTATTCTGGTGACGAGAATTGCATGCGTAAAATTTTTTTTCAGGACTATCTAATAACGCGTTTAGTAAGTGTTCAGCAAATACCTTGAAAATGAGGGAAATATTATTTTTTTAAATCGATATTATTTGATTTTTACGCAAATAAAATGTGTTTTAAAAACTTTTGTGATGGTCCCGGAAAAAATATAGTATTCGACTTGCGAGTTACGACCCGTCACTTTCTGAACGAGCAACGGCTGTCATAACTTGCCCGTTGAGTAATATACCATGAAAGTTACATTTCCTAGTAGTTCTTTATTGATCTTTATAGAAATTGGTAACTTTTTACAAATTCCGTTAGATAATGAGCTGGTGGAAGTGACGCACATCGAATCCTTGGAGTGTTTTTACGTACAGCTAAAAAAACACCAGTCTCTGTTCACCCAAATGAACAAAGACATCGAGAATTATATCAAGATGGGAGCAAACCCGGTCACCTCGCCTCAAATTAGTAAGTTTGGATTTTTACCGTATTCGAAAAAAAAAATCGCCAAAATTGTACAGGTACAACCATCTGACCAAAATTTTTATTTTATTTTAAATCATGCCTTCTCACACTCTTAAGGTCATCCATACAACCCGCCCATATACTTTTTATACCCGCCCATGGTCATTATTTTATTTTCATGACCCCAAAAATTTACGAATGTTATACGAGGGTTGCCTTTTATATTTCGGCAATAGAGAGAACAAAAAAAATAAATTAATTATCTTATATGGCTTTATTGTTTTTCAAAATATTCTCCATAAAGATCAATACAGTTTTGCATGCGCTCGAACCACTTTTCCCATTTTGATTGAGGTATCTCCTAAACATGTATTTTGAGAACGCATCAACTGCTTCTTCAGATGTCGAAAAATGATTGTAATTTATTTTTAATGTGCAGGAATAAAAAAAGTCATTGGGTGCCAAATCAGGGCTGTACGGCGGATGATTCGTCAATTCAACTTTTTCAGTTCTCAAAAAGTCTTGTTTAAGCAGCATATTGCATGTATGCTGGTCTCATTAACGCTCAAGTATGGCTCAATCACATGATAAGTCACGTGACGATCTTGCAACCGATTTTGGACGACCTTCACGAAATTCGTCAGTGCGCAAACCATGGCCAGGATTGAATTCCATATACCATTGATATACAAAGGTTTTTGATAGTGCTTCATCGGCAAAAGTTGAATTATGTTCATCGATGTACTGCTGCTGATATAATCCACGACGAAAATTGTAAAAAATAACACAGGCCGACAAGGAAAAAAACCCAGAAAGCAGACAATACGTCCCTGAAAGTTTTTGATGTGCTGATTCCGAATCTGGTCCCAGAATTGACCCATCACCGTAGGTTTTCTAACTTAAAGTGTAAAAAAGACGTTTTTTTTGTTATGATCAAGGTTATATAACATTGCGAATAATTTTTTTTTCTAAAAATCAATTACACCACTGAAGAGTAGAATATTTACCCTTCAAAAACCTTCTTTCGATTTGAAAAATATTTATTTTTCGCCAAGATGTCGTTAATTGAAAATTACTAAAGTTACTTTCTTACACCATGATAATATGGAATTACAGGGTGCTTCAGGTATAAATTTTCAATTTGACTTGTCGTGGATTTAGAAGATGCTGGTTACGACGCACTTAGGTTAACCTTTCGAAACTTTTAGGTTAGGAAATCCCAAAAACGAGGTCATTGGAAAATATTAACGTTAAATTCGAATTCAGCGATCGAAAAAACATAAAAATGTGTTATGTCTGCTTCCTAAAAAATTTCTTAATTTGTTCATGGTGTAAGAAAGTAGCTGAAGTATTAATTTTCCATTAACGATATCTTGGCGATAAATAAATATTTTTTCATATCGAAAGAAGGGTTTTGAAGGAAGGATAAAGATCTATCGTTTCAGTGGTGTAATTGATTTTTAGAAAAAAAAATTATTCGCGATGTCGTATAATCTTAAATATAACAAAAAAAACTTGTTTTTTACACATTTAGGATAGAATATCTCGGAAACTTAGAGTGATGGGTCAATTCTGAGGCCAGATTCGAACTCAGCGCATTAAAAACCTTCGAGGACGTATTGTCCGCTTTCTGGGTTTTTCCTTTTTTGAAATTTTGTCGGGCTGTGTAATCGCACAGAAATGTTTACGACTTACAGTAGAATCACTCATATCCTTCACCCATGGGACCGCAGAGTGGTCACCACACAAAAAGGTTAGATAATCCAAAGAACAACAAAAAATGAATAAAAACGCACATAAACGAGTGTTTATGTACATACATATGTAAATGTACGTGTTTATTGAAAAAAATGGATGGGTAAACCCTAACCCTATGTACGTATAAATTTATTTAAAAAAATCAGTTATATTTTTTTGTTTTAATGTACTTAATCTTGCTTTAGCAGAGATATCCTTCCACTTAATGCACAGCACATCCGTCGGTGCTGCGTTTGGATGCTGCTCAATGTATTTCATCGCAATTTCAAAAGCCTCTTTAGCTACGGCTACGATTTGATCATCATCAAGATTCTCGTTGGTGATGGATATCCCGAGATCGGATAAGAGGGGTTCTACTGTAATTCGATTTTTTAGCCGAGATGAATTTTTCAAATCACTGTAAACAACACAAATAGCGCCTATACGTCAAAAGGTATTGAGTAAATATTCCAACAAAAAGTCGAACTTTACAATAGGGACGTCGGTCGTCAGACATCAGCATCAACATCGTCCATTCCCGAAATACAAAAAGCATCCGTCGTAAATTAATCGGTAGCACAATTTTATTGCAAAAATAATTTGTGTATGAATCTATGCAGATATTGTGGTACTTTTTTAAACAAAACGGGGTTTCAATCTGTAACCTCGAATTAAATTACAGTGGGTGTCCATTTTCGAGTCTTGCCGTCGAGACCTTGATTAACGAAAGTTGTGGAATTTACATGGTGAACAAATAATTGATGAAAAAGCGACAATTTTTTTGTTTTGTTAATTTTTTTTATTTTGCTGAAAATCAAAAAAAAGTAGACATTTTAAACTTGGTCCCTTATCAGACTCTTTTTTATAGAAGATTAGAATATTTTGTTATCAGTACTTCCACCTGGAAACAAATTAAACTTAAACTTAAATCAAAATGTCCGTGTTCATATAAACTCTTTTATTTTCGGTCGGGGAAACCTCCTGTACAATTTTGTCGGCGAAATACCGCACCACCTACATATGATAAATTTCAGATGAACTATATTTGGCCATGTACGTCACGAAAACTGAACGGATATGGTGCAGGGGCCGATTGACCGCTATCAAAACCGAAAGGGCTACCCCGCTATACGAGGTTTACTTCATCGATTTTGGAAGCACGCAGATGTTGGACATCAGCAAGTATGTGGAAAAATTTCCAACAAATATTTATTTACGAAATACATACTTCTCTTTTTAGGTTGAGAGAGATAACACCTCATTTAGCGCAGAAAAAATCGTTTGCGATACAGTGCGAGTTGTATAATCCCGCCTATACTAACTGGAACAAAAACGCCCACGTCTACATGGGCAAAGTAATCAACGGGTATATATAACGCCGCTCTGATAAAAATTATGTGAATGATCTTATTCTTTTACAGCAAGGAAATATACTTGGTTGTGAAAAACGTCAACAACGGAATATATGTTGTCGACTTGATGATATCGTCTTCGGACAGGGGTTTAACCTCGATCATCGACATACTTATATATGCTTGCTCGAATGCACTATCAAGCAGTAGCGACAGTTTAAGCTCCGTACGTCAAAAGGTGTGTATATGTTTAACGTTTTTGTTATGAAAATTGATAAGCTTGTGAACATTATAGAAAGAAATTCTGCTTTATAAATTGATGAAATTTTAGAAATAAGGGACTTATCTTAAGCAATGCAGCGGATCCGCATTATCGTAATTAGTTCAGTAGTACATAGAGGGGGCCACTATACAGGCTGTTACAAATTTGCTTCTCACTACAGGGACCTCGGAAACGGTAAGAGATACGAAGTAGCTTAAAAGGGGGCAAAGTTACATAATCAGAGGACCAACATGTGCCTCTAAAAAATCAAGGCTAACATGATTAGTTTTAGAAATATTTGAAAATAAATGAAATTGTCTACGACTCCTAAATTTCTTATTGAATTTTTGTTGCGCGATTTTTTTGAAGCCGCGGCTAGTGAGACTCCTGGAAAGGTGTAGAACTTCGTATTGCTCTTTTTTTTTGTAAAAAAAATATCAAAACTTTCTAAAATGGTTTGATACTGAAATAATAGTCCGATTTATGGTTTTACCGTGGCCCAAGAGTTAGTAGTCGATTTGTATTTCATATGTGTCTGTCACAATCTAACTTAACTGACGACCGATGATAGTGATGTCTCCGTTTTTTCTCTGTCTGCGATGATTTTGTATGGTCCCCTGCACAGAGCAGCATTCAGTTCCTATGAATCTTACATATGAAGAGTTTTTTGGGTCGCTGATCACGAATCTGGTCTCAGAATCTCGAAATTCAAGATGGCGGATCCAATATGGCGGACAAAAAAATTGAAATGTTCAAAATGCACGAATTTTTGTGTTGGGGGTTTTTGTGTCTGGGTATCCAATTTGGCGAGTATAAAAATTGAAATGTCTTCAAAATGTACAAATTGTGCGTTGTGTGTATTGAGGGGTTTTTTGGTCGCTAATTACGATATATGGAATACGTCATTTCGTAATTCTGCCTTCAGATTCCTAATCGGAGACCCAAAAAAACCCACTATACAAAAATTCGTGCATTTCAGACATTTTAATTTTTTTGTCTGCCATTTTGAATTTCGTGATTTAGAATCCAGATTCGTAATCATAGACCCAAAACACCCATTACAAAAAAAATTCATGCATTTTGAAGACATTTCAATTTTCTTGTCTGCTCTGTTGGATCTGCCATTTTCAATTTCGTGATTCTGAGACCAGATTCGTGATGAGCAACCCAAAAAGCTCTTCATATGTAAGATTCATAGGAATTGAATGTCTTTCGCATCTCTAAGCTCTTTAAAGATTCCTCTAATTAGGGATGGTTTATCTAGATTTAAGAAGGTGGAGGGAGAAGTGAGGGTGAGGGGATTGCTCCGTTTAGGGTGGAAACGATTGAGTAGTAGGTACTAAAAAAAATTTTTTCACGATTTTTTCAGCCAAAAATAAATTAGGACAAAAACCGGTCTTAGGGGCCCTCCTCCTTTGGAACAAATACATGACGATGAATTTTTTGAGACAAAACATCTGATTCGGGCCGTAGGCAGTACAGTATTGGAGGTCATGAAGGCTTGCCAAAAATTAAATAAAATTTCCAGAGCTATATTTAAGTTGATGATGGTTCTGGAAAGACGAAATGTTACATATAACAATTGATTATGCCATTCGATAGAGGGCAAAAAGTTGCTGTGAGAAAGTGTTCTTCTTTTTTCAATATCACCTCAAACAGGGCTGAAATGAAACAAAAACAGATTTCCAAAATTTCAGTTTTTTTCATATATTTCAAAAACTAACCACGTTGGCCTTGATTTTTTAGAGGCATAATGTTGGTCCCCCGATTATGCAACTTTGCCCCCATTTAAACTACTTCACATCTCTTACCGTTTCCGAGATCCCTGTAGTGAAAAGTTAATTTGTAACAGCCTGTATATAAAATTTAGATTGCCATTCTGGTTCTTAGAAGGCAGCATTGTGTTATAGCATTGGTTTTATAAGCTACGCTATCAGATAATTCAAATTTTGACGTTTGTAGGACGTCTGAATCCAGATTGCATTGCGATTGATGCCGCCCAGATCTAATAAGAGCACATTTATCATTATTTTGTTTGCCTTTATTACCTTTAGCATCTTATTACAACAGTTTTAGTGACAAATTGTCTCTTTTTGAAACATCCTTAGGCCAGTGTCCTATGCATCCGAAATCCGATGTACGATATCCGAAAATATTTTAATTCGTACGAATGATAATATTATAATTCACATGCATCCGAAATTAATATCATAGAAATCAAGTATAGAACCATGGAATTTATTACAAGATGAAGGTGAAACATTTTCAAATGACAACCATAGAATATTATAGAAAATATACGTAATATAATATTTTCTACATTCGACATTATAATATAACATTTATTTGGCTGTAAATATATCAAACAACAATCATAGTATGTTAAAAACTTAAAAAGTGAGGTTAAAAAACATACGATTTCTGATAAAAGTTAAAATTATTTCTACTTTTTCCGACGTCGTATGAATTTTAAAAATTTCGGATGAAAATGAGCGGTAAAAAGTTGAATGTATATTAACCAATAGGAACACTTTTGGACCTTCGTATCGTTGGATTTCGGATGCATAGGACACCGGCCTTAGATCTAATGGTGTTTACTGAACTGCTCCCTGGTTGCAGACGACATAATTTCACCTACGCCTCACTATCGGTCAAACGACATTTTTTTATGTCAAAATCAAATATCTCGAAGAAGAATTAACGAATCGTTTTACATTTTTTTTTTTTTAAATTAAACCTTATTTGATGCAGATTTACGGAAAATTATTGCGAATATCATCATCCCCTATTTTGGGGGTGGAAATGAAGGGTGATTAGGTGAAAAAAGGGAAAATCGATTTTCTCCGTTTTTTTACATTTGTCGTTCATAAAGTAAATTATAAGAAACGACGTTTTCTTTTTAATTATTGAGCTAAAGAGTGTATTTTTGTTTATTATTATAAAATTGTTTGAAAAACCTCCAGAATGTAAGAGAGGGTTAAAAACAGTGATCATATTTATATTCATCGAACCCCTTCCAATGACAGATTTTTTATTTTTGCCAAGTGATGAAAATCTCTCCACCCTTTATTCCTACCCTTAAAGCACGGACTAATAAAAAGATACACTTAAAGTTTGACGATGAAAAAATAAACTTTTACGTATCTAGGGACCACAAAAACCCCCAACAAATACCTTCTTTGACTTTTTTCATTCCACCCCTAACCCCAAATTGTCATTTTCCTTAAGTAAGGGATAACGAAAAATCGCACTGAAATTTACAGATGATAAGAAAATGGTCTACCATGTTATTTAAGATCAGAGAATTGAAAGACTGGTAATATTTCAGATGAATTTTATTCCTCAATCCCCCAACCCTCAGTTCTTCCCCTAAATCAGTGGATGATAAAAACAGCTCCTGAAAAGGAGATTTTTGTTTTAGTGATGCTTTTATTCGTGTTCAGCGACATCAAAAACCTTTTATGCATATTTTCTTTAATTTTCATTTTTCCACACCTTCACCCCTCACTTCCACCCCTAAAATAGGGATGAAAATGTGTTCATTAATTTTTCCCTAACTTGTTTCAATTGAGCATTGATTCCACCAAAATGTGTCTTAATTTCATTGTATCTATCAGAGATATAAGATTTTTGAACGAAGAAAATTGATTTTCACTTTTTTCACCTATTCACCCTTCATCTCCACCCCCAAAATAGGGGATGATGACATTCGCAATAATTTTCCCTAAATCTGTATCAAATAAGCTTTAAGGAGGTTCGATACCAAAAGAAAAATGGTAAGAATGTTTTCAAAGCAATTGAAATCTGTTAATAAATGTGCAAACTGACTTGTGTAAAAACATCAGATCGATTGACAACGTAGTTTTTTTGAAAAATGATTTTAAAAATTATGCTCTTTTACACAGGCTCTTATGGGAGTTGGGAAAAAACCTTAATCAAATGTGAATATTGCTCTTAAAAATGGCTAGGATCGGAAAAATAAAATTGTAATTACAGAATTAAATATTACTAAACATTTTAAAACAATAAAAATATGCACTTACAATGTAATTATTGAGATAATGGAATGAATAGATAACGTTTTGACAAATTTGAACAAACATCTGATCCAATGAAAAGAAATATGGCAACAATGTACGCTGTATTTAATGCTTCGACTGATGCGTTATATGTATTTGAATAGCTCGATTATAGATTATAAAATTATTCCAGTTGAAAATATATGTAGTAATAATTAATATTAAATAAATTTTTCGTGATCTAAAGCAATATACTAGCAATTTGAAAAAAAAATTGAAAGGATCTCTTTGCAAAACGAACAGTATAGATGTTATGTCATAATCTTCAATTTGACAAGTCGACGTCTCACTATCATACACTGAACTTCTTGATAGTTATCATATGGATTCTCGGTTTGCACATTTTATTTTATTCTCATCAATCCACATTTTCTTTTACACTCATTTTATATTACTTTTCAGTCATTACTTTTCCTTTGTACCTTGGTTGTTCATTCATGTTTATGGAATTCGCGCAAAGTTGACAGTAATGACAGTTGACCCAACTTTTACCACCACGCCATGGCAATGTTGCCAGATTTCATCCATAATTTTACAAGCTCGTAATGAATAAATAGACGCTTTTATTCAAATAAAAAGTGAACTGACGTGTATTAAACACGAAAAAAATATGTAAGCTAATATGTGTTGTATAAATTTCATTCTAAATAGCATACTTAATTCGCTGAAATTAAATTATGCAAAGTTGGTACTGCAACAAGACTCCCGTGTATAAACATAGGCATACTCTCCGCACCGCCCGCCCCGGAAGAGGTGTATCGTCCTTAAATTTAAAAAAAAATAAAACGATTCATTTCACTTCGAGATATTTGATTTTGACATAAAAATGTGGGCGGTGTCAATGATTATATGAACCCTCTTGTCTCTATATCTAATGATTATGGAAACTTCACGCAACAGTCTCTTATTTTAGCAGCTGATACCTTACAATTTGTTTTAGAACTCGTATGTCCCTGAATTGAAGATATATAATAACAGCTTCAAATTTCACAAGAAGCAAATCGAAAACGTTGTCATTGCAAACGTCATTGATCCACATAACATTTTCGTACACATAGTAAGTAATATAGGCCTCTTGGAAATTTATTTCGATATAACCGTACTTATTTTTCAGTCCAGCTTTGTTAACTTACTCAAAAGTATGACCACGGAACTTAAACGTCACTATAAAAATAAAATGTCCGGTAATTGTTTGCCCGTTGAAGGTAATAGTTCTGATGCGCTCGAGGAATATCACAATTATTATTTTTTTAACGTTTTTAGGTACTTACGTTGTCGTGGAACACAAAGACCTCGTTAGGGGCAATTGGCACAGGGCGCTGATAAAGAAAGTTGATATAATCAATGGGAAGGCTCACGTTTTGCTGGTGGATTGGGGAAATACCGTTATTGTTCCGTGGTCTAGTCTGAGGCTCCTAACCGATCATTTCACCAGATTGGAGAGTCAGGTGAATTAAAATGTGTTTTCTTCAAAATCTTTTAACACCTCGACACAAAAAACTATTTTAGCCATTCAAAATTTACGCATTTGTTTTGTCTTTAGGCTGTTTTGGTTAAACTCGCACACTTGGAGCCGTATCAAGGCGCAAAGGCGTGGTCTGAAAATGCAACGTCCTTCATACAGAAGAACTTCAGGACTCAAGACACTTTAAAAATGATCGTACATCGCGTCGATCCCCTTGAAGTTGCTCTATTCGAAATAGAGGGCTGCGTTAATATCTGCGTCAATGCTCAGCTAGTGCAAGAAAAATATGCAGATTCTACGGGCAAAATGTAAGTGTTCCAATGATAACGCGTTTTTTGTTGGTGATTTCTTGTTATTTTGTACAAACTACTTTTGTTCTTCTACCGAAATAACTCCATTTAAAAAGTGGCAAAATACTAATTTCATGACAACTGTTATAATTCGGTTGCAGTTCTCAAACTCTGGAGTGGCCAGACGGTGACCAGGAACAACCGGAATTGGCGGGCGAGGAAGAAGACTTCGTAGCGGGCCTGCTAAAAAAATTCGACGAATCTCCACACGACGATTCCGAAGACGAAGACGAATCCGACGCAAGCAGGCAACCGATTAACATCGTTAAGGCCGTCAGTCCCGATCTCATTTATATAAAATTCGTATGTCGAGAGAAAGAAGAAGAAGACTTCTACAAGGAGCTGCAGATGCACTACAATAAAGACAGGGGAACGAAAGAAACGTGGAGCGATAACGAATTCTGTGTAGCGCAGCTCTCAGATTGTTTCACCAGAGGTCAGGTTATAAGCCGAGTGGGAGATAAGTACATGGTTAATTTATACGATAGGGCCGAGGAATTGGTGTTGCCCAAGGAAAAATTATGTGTCGCTTCCAGCTACTTCCAGAAATTCCACAAATTCGTTTATAGAAGTCACCTGGCCGATATCAGACCGGCCGGTGGCGACAATTGGAGTTTATCGTCCATCGAAGCCTTAGAGAACATTTTCGAGAAACACAAAGAAATATTCGCCACCAAGCTACCCATAGACACACAAAAACGGTCTATTCCGATGCTGATGTGGTACACCCATACGAAGACGGTGGACGCCTTAGAACCGACGATCACTAAATTTGTTTCCATCAACAAACTGTTGGTGAAACTGGGCTTCGCTTATAAGGAAACGAGTACGACTGCGGTGAGCAATAACGAGCAAGTCGATAGTGAGAATGAAAAATCCCATGACGAGGGATCGTTGGATAAGACTGCTGACAAATTAGACGAGAGTTTGGAATCAGGAGGGTCGGAAAACGAAGTGGTAAGGAAGTTTTGTATCTTTCTTTGCCGTTATTATTTTTATGCTTTACGGAAAACTAATGATAGCTATACCTTCGGACACCTAGCACTATAAATGTAGATACAGGAGCGATAAACTTTTTAGGTTATGTGTGGGAACTTTTGAGCTTTAGAAACAAGCTTATTTTTTCAAATTACATTGTAAAAACTAATTCTTTTGGGGCAGGATAATGTAACATGAAACTGATTGATACTGATATTCACAAACTAAACACAGTCCTTCAAAAACTAGTAAATTTTTTTTCAAAAATTCATTTAATTGGACAATTTCAGCAAACTAGTCTTGTCGGTTATGTTACCTCTGAACTAATGAAGACTAAGTCCAAAACTGGTATATGTCTGGTGGGTATGACTGACGAATGCTCATATAATTCAATGCTGGTTCTGGCAGGTAGGCTTAAGAATAGTTGTTTCTTGCAATATCTTCAGTGAAAACATCTAACAGATGATTCAAATTGAGTTTCCACATTACAATCTAAAATATTTTTGATACGCCACTGTATTTGTCAACAGTAACGTAAGAGTTCTAACCTAGAAACATAAACAAAATTAGTCATGGAGCAATATACGACCGAACAATGTGTTAAAATTATCCAAACCTATTATGAAAATGGCCGATCGAGGAAAAGTGTATTTTGTGCTTTACGTGAATTTTTTTGGTGCACAAAATAGGTCATTTCGAACAAACATTGCCATTGTTCGCGAAAGTGTTGCCGAAAATTCAATCACATCGATTCATCATCGATCGCAGTAAGTGGATCTTACGTATTCCACTACTCAGCGACTTTTAACAAAAGATTTGCAGTTACACTCATACAGACTCCAAATTACGCACGAACTGAAGCCTCGAGACCATCAACAGCGCCGTGTGTTTGCAGAATGGATACGAGAACAAGGGGGTAAATTTTTCAATGAAAATCATGTTTAGCAATAAGGTACATTTTCACTTCGGTGGCTTCGTAAACAAGCACAATTGTCGTATTTGGGGATTAGAAAATCCAAGAGAGATTGTTCAAACGGAAATGCGTCCTCAAATGGTGACCATTTGGTGTGCCTTTTGGTCCAGAGGCGTAATTGGCCATTTTTTTTCGAGGATCATAACGCTGTTATGGTTAATGGCATTCACTATCGGACCATGATACCAGATTTTTTCTGGGAGCAGTTGGAAGATATGGACGTCGAAGATCTCTGTTTTCAACAGAGCGGTGCCACCTGCCACACAGCAGGAGAAACGATACAATTACTGATCGACAAGTTTCCAGGTTTCACGTAACGGCGACATCAATTGGCTGCCGCGATCATGTGATTTAATTCCCGCAGATTTTTTCTTTGGGGGTATCTGAAGAGCAGAGTTTACAAGAATTAGTCGAGGAAATAATGCATTAAAAATGGCCTTGCCTCTGAAATCTGTGCAGTAAGATAAATGCATTTTTAAAATTGCATCTCGAAATCTTGAAAAATATTAACGGAAATGAGTTAATTTTTGCTACTCGGGGGTTTTTGGGGTCGCTGAACACGAATATCATGATGGCAACGGTCTCCGAGGTACCTAGTGCCCAGGGTGCCCTGTTTCCACGTCGTTTCCTGGAGTTTTGTGGAAATTCGTTACAAACTTAGCCGAAACTCGTTACCTCGGGGTTTTTGAGGTCGCTGAACACGAGTATCACGACGGCAACGGTCTCCGGTACCTAGTGCCCAGGGTGGCCAGTTTCCACGTCGTCTCCTGAATTTTTGTGGAAATTCTATATAAACTTAGCCGAAACTCGTTACCTCGGAGTTTTCGAGGTCGCTCAACACGAATATTACGACGGTAACGGTCCTAGAGATAGCTAGTACCCAGGATGGCTGGTTTCTGTGACAATTATTTTATTCGTAATTATTTTTTATTATAAAAATACATTTATTTATTACAAAAAATACATGTTTTCAAAAAAATATTATACTTAGATATCTTTACAATTTAAATTTTTCTTATTTCACGTTTGCGCTATAACTTGGAAATATGTAAGAGTAAAACGTGGAAGCAGCGGCCAGCGATCGCAGTCCTTGCCTAAAATTTCATCAATGTTACTAACTGTATTAAAAGCGCCAAATTTAAAAAAAATTTTTCGGATAATTTATTTAGATATTCGATAAAGTTTATGAAGATGGCATCGGTACCTCAGACCATTACTGTTGTGATATTCGTGTTGAGCGACCCCAAAAACCCAGAGGTAACGAGTTTCGGTTAGTTTATAACGAATTTCCACAAAACTCCAGAAGACGATGTGGAAACCAGCCAACCTGGGCACTAGGTACCTCGGAGACCATTGCCGTCGTGATATTCGTGTTCAACGAGTTATAAATTTTTCATATTTTAACTCTTCGAGATGCAGTTTTAAAAATTCATTTTTCTTTTCTCATTGATCACATAGGGTCACAAACTTTCTGGACGCTCTAACGAATCAAATGCAAAAAACCGCATCACGATCCATCTTACTGCACAGATTTCGGAGGTTCAGTGTTTCATTTCCTCGACTAAATAAACCGAACACCAGAGCTGAAACAGGAGATCAGACGTGAAATAACCGGCATAGAACCTGATTTGTGCCGCAAAGTAGTCGACGATTTTCACACACGGATTACGTTATGCCACATGAGCCGTGGCGGTCATTTACATGATGTCACCTTTCATACATGACCTCAAAGGGCAAATAAATACATTTTATATTTCTGAATTTCTTTGCATTCTTTTTAGTACCTTTTATGTGGAAATCTAAATTGAATCATTTTTTATGTCAAAATCGTAGCATGTATAATAGGAAAAAATTTAATAATTTCTGTTTATATTGCAGCTAAAAGAAAAATCTTCCACAGTCGGTCCAGACAAGGCCAATACAATTGGCAGTTCCACAGACTGGAACCAGCTAGTCGAGGAGGAGCAGAATTCACCCGACTCCAAACAGGATTCGCCGTACCATACCAGAGAGACTGAAATCACCGATTGGAAACCGGCTTTCTCCATTAAAAAGCACGAATTTAACGCGTACGTTCTCTGCGCGGATACCGAGGGGATCCTATATTTGAGGGAGGAAAACCTCCAACCGGTTTACGAGAACATGGAACAGAACCTGAAGCAGTACTTTGACAGCCAACCGTTGCGCGCGGAAAGCAACAACTGGCAACCCAGCCAGATCTGCACGATATCCGACAACGATTACTGGTACCGCGGCAAGATATTAAAAGTTAACAGTCCCACGGAAATAATTGCGATTATGATCGATTTCGGTAGCGATCACAAACTCTCTCCGAAGCAGTTGCATAGGGAGATACTTTACCCAGAAATTCCATCGTTTGCCTCGAGGATACAGCTGAACGGGATATATTCGAAGACCGGCAACTGGCTCACTTCGGATTATGACACGTTATTAGAGATAATCACGAAATTCGCCAAGGTTGTGATCAAAAGTCCCTTGGACGATGAAATTCCGTTGGCAGAAGTGTACGATGATAAGGGGCAGAACATCAACGATCTTCTAGTCAAATTGTGCCCTAATCTCAGCAGGCATCCTATACGGGTGAAGGAGGAAAAATCCGACGAAGAACTCGCCTTGATAGAGGAAGAAGACCCTGAAAGCCTGGAAAGTGTCGTAGATAACCAGATAGACACGAGGTCTATGCAGTTCAACGTGGAACCGCTCCCGGAAAAAGGATTCGAGGATAAAGTTCCCATGTATATCGTTGCGGTGTTGTCTTACAATAAAGTGGTTTTGAAGAAGATTGAAGAAAGCTACGATGAGCTGAATTCGATAAACAGCGATATCCAGGCGTCCTGTTCCACACAACCCAACATTGAAGACGTAGTCGTCGGCATGCCGTGTATTTGCCCGTATGTGGAAGACAACCTGTGGTACAGAGCAACTGTCCACAGCATCGACGGTATAGATTGTGGATACGTGTTCGTGTTCTTCGTAGACTTTGGTAATGTGGATTCGGTGCCAATAGGAAACATTAGAATGATGAAACCGAAGTGGTTCGACTTACCCGTGACCTGCTACATAGCCGATGTTAACGCGGAGCTAAAAGCGGAAAACCACTTAGAGCACGTGCTGCAGCACATGAAGAAGTTGTTATCGAAAAAAGCGTTTGTACATTTCATTTCGAGTGACCCGCTTGTCGTTGATTTGTTTGAGAAAAATGGAGTACTGTGTTATCAGTCCTTAATCAGCAATGGTTTGTTGAAGCTTAAATAGGATTCAATTTTTTTTTCGTTGTGAAATTTATGTTCCTTTCGTTTGAGTTAAGAGTACCAGTTTTTTTGTATTATCACAGGAATAAATTTTTTTTTTGGTAAATACTTTTTTTGTAATGTATCCTATTCCCTGAAGCTAATTGTCTAATTTGATACAATTTTTCACTGCAAAGAGGCCATGTGATTAATAAATCCTATTAAAATGTGGAAATAGTAAGATCTTTCTATAGTGGCCACTTTTATTTATTGGTCTTTGTCACGGCTAGTTTAGAACAACAAAAATACAAGATATTCATTTCAAAAATAATATTTTGAAAACAGTATAGGAAAATAAATATGAAAAATATTTGTATAGTTTAAATTTATGATTTAACTAACGTCTAATTTAAAATAATTTTGCACAAGCAAATTTTAAATTTTGGTCTACTTAGCACTGAATTTGTGGGACTTATGCCCAAATACCCACGAGTATCAACGAAGAGGAAGAAGAAGATCAAGTTTTTCATAGGTTATGTTTCCTTATACGTCAAAATATGACTGATTTTTAATTTTTGTCGTTAAACAGAATAGTCGCCATAGACAAAGTGATAGTCGCAATTGATATTAATTTAAAATATTATTGTGAAAAGAATAAAATAAATAGGCAATCATGTTAGGCGTTCGTGTAAGTGCTTTTAATGAAAATGGGTTAGGAGAACCGGATCAAGACGCTAATTCGGCATTAACAGAGTTAGATAAAGGTTATATTAATGTTTATGTTCTTTAGAATTCTCGTGTAATATTTCTTTGCCTAGGTTTAAGATCCGGTAAAGTTGGTGAACAATGTGAAGCCATTGTTAGATTTCCCAAGCTATTTGAAAAATATCCTTTTCCAATTTTGATAAACGCTTCTTTGCTGAAACTCTCCGATGTATTTCGAATGGGGTGAGTGTTTGATACTTCGGCATAAAATTACATCTCTAAAATAGAATTTTTTTTTCTTTGTGTTTGAGAGGTTACTAAAAGCATCTTTTTAAGGAACAACTTCTTGCGATTATGTGTTTTACGGGTATGCCAGCAGAGCGAAAAGCACTTAGACAAAATATCAAATGTAGACGAGTTTGTTAGGAGGATTTACAGTGTAATACATAGCAATGACCCAATTGCTAGAGCAGTCACTCTAAGGATATTTGGTGCAGTGGCTGCCATTATTCCGGAAAGGCAACAAATCCACCACAGCATTAGAAGCAGTTTGGATTCACATGACAGTGTGGAAGTTGAGGCTGCGATTTATGCCGCAATACAATTTGCAGCCCAGTCTAAGTGAGTAACAAATATAATTATTTAAAACCGATATTTTTACACTTTACACTATTCTATACATTTACACCAATTTTTTATTTGTTTAAGAACATTTGCCATTAGTATGTGTAATAAGGTATCTGACATGATTCAAGGACAATCCACCCCTGCTAATATGAAATTGCAGCTTATTCCGATTTTGCAATATATGCACCATGACACTAATACAGCCGCCATGGTTAGATCGTTATGTATTGACCTTTTGCCAGGTAGGTAACATTGAAATCAATCACAGAAAAAATAGAAACAAATCTATAGTTTGCATTTTTTTTAATAATTGTAGGTTATCCTGCTCAAGATTTCGTTTTGGTAACATTAAACACACTCACGAAGTTAGCTGCAGCCACCTTAGTCGACATTCCTAGTCAAGTAAACTTACTGTTGAGCTACTTAAAAAATGACCCAAGGTGGGAAGTGAAATTGAAAGCTTTGGAACATTTGTATGAGCTAGCAAAACCCGGGGCACATCTTTGGCCTTCGGGTGCAATTGACGACATTGTCGATTTTGTTCTAAATACTAAGCAGACAAAGATACTTACCCCCGCCCTAGGTAAGGCTATTATTAAAGATATTAAATCAAACGAAAAGTTTATTCCCACTAACATTTCTTTAGGAACTAAATCGTATTTTAAAATGGCGCTAGCCATAGGTAAAGAACTCAAAATTTCAAAGAAAAAAATTTTGTGCAGGCATAAAACTTTCCCCCATATTCTAGAAGGTTCAAAGCAATGAAGACTCACACTTTTATACATTTTTTTTCATTTCTAACAAATTTAACGTAGACTTCTATTTTTGAAGGTGTCATACAGGTTCTCGTCGAGTCTCCTAGGATGTGCCATGAACATCGTGCAGCAGGTTCTAAGCTTAAAGAACTGTGCAGCAACCACTGTTATTCGCCGCAGCCGTGCGTAGCTGCTCAAGCGATACAGATTCTTACTGAGATACTTTGTTATTGGTAAAAGATTTAAAAAATTTATTTGTACTGGTTTTAAACTCACTTCCGTTTTAGTTATCAAGAAAACCTGGAAACGGATGGTGCAGACGATGTCATAGCTGCTCTCGAAACCCTCATATTACTTCTCACTTTCTCGAATGAAAGACACCCTCTACAGCTTAAAATTGCATTAAAATGTGCCGTCAGGTTATGTGAAGCCAAGCAAGAATACTGCGAGGTTTTCGTTGAACTTTTGGGGACGAGGCTGGATAACATCGACAGTAAGTGAATGCTTTTAATATGATGAATTTTTTTTTTTTTTCTAATATGGCCCATAGAATTGGGAATTAAAAAAACAGTTTAGAATTAGTGTCATTGTTGGTGAGGCTGTTAAGGCTATTAAAAATAAGTATTACTTTATTAATATTATTTTTATTTATTATCATGGTGTATTTTCAGGTGAATACACAATCGTAATATGCGAAGCCCTGGGCGCTATCGGTGGGTTAAAACCGGAAACGTTGCTTCCACTCGTAGATACCATCCTGAACCTTCTAATAGCGCTTCTGGACGTCGCAAGTCCCACGCAACTCCAAACCCACACGAAAACCATGCTGTGCACCCTAATTTTCCAAACTCTGTCCGGTTATAAGTGGAACGAATACACTTTCAACACGGTGTTAAATGTAGTGGATAACAATAATCTATGGGCCAATTATTGCATAGCGCGAGCCGCCGTACGTTACGGTCACCATAAAATAGCCCATCACATTTTCGAGGGGCTCACCGAGCAAGTCAGTTCGGAACATTTCCATTTCTGGTTGGTCTGCCTGAAGGAGATGTCGAAGGCCGAGGCGCAACTGTATAGCGAGGAATCGGAGACGTTAGTTACGAGATTGGACACGGCCATCATCCATTACAACAAAGCGATAGCGGCTCTAAAGGTAATTTCTTTCTACGATGAAAAAATAATTGATTATAGAATTTTTTGGAAACCACGATTGTGTACATTCGATCCACAGGGATGTTAAAAATTGTGGCTAAGATTTTAGTATGTTGTATTTTATCGTTGACCAATTTTCGTGCTGGTTACCACGTTATCAGTTTAGACTTATTGACGTTTCGAGAGATATAACACTCGCTATGTATATTTTTATTTCTATGGCTAGGAAATTTAATAACAATAAAATTCGTAAACGTTCTTGCATCCAACTGAATTTTTTCTGTACATGTTTGTGTTAGTCCAGTCATTGAAGGTAAAATACGGCTTTACTGTATCATGTATAATTTTCTCAAACAGCACCGATTTGCATAAAAATTTGGATTTAGGTTCTACCTACCCTCTACTTCAAAGTTGACCCAGTGCCGGGGGTTGCTTTTTAAGTAATAAGTAATTATGATGAATAAGTAATGAAGTAATAAGTAGTAGTAGTAGTAGTAGTAGTAAGTAATAAGTAATTATGATGAATTGAAAATTGTCATACCCTAAAAACCACCCCCTACGACAGTAATCATTAAAAAATAATGTTGAAAAATATTAGAGATGGGCACTTTTCGGAAAAGTTTGTTACGCACATGTTTGTTGGACATGTCGATGAAATGTCCGGACATGTCAATGAAATGTCCGGACATGTCGGAAAAAGTACTTTTGACATTGAATCTAATAAGGCACCTATGAGTGACGTCATGTTTTTACAGGTCAATGCTTAAGGGTACACAAAGCAAAATATAACCAAACTGTTGATTTTGACGTCATACTTCATTTATAAACTATTTGTGTATTAAATATTAAATTAAGAATCAACTGATTACTATTTGCTAATCGTTAACTTCGCCAAGAATAATAAAATATGGACATATAAAAGAGGTTATATTTTTAAAATGTCAATTTCAGTTAAACAATTGCCAACAAAATTACAAGAAAATGGCTAAATATCTTTAATTTTACATATACCAACCTCAAAAATTTTTTACGGGAATATTATGAATGCAAACAAATAATTTCGCGCATGCGCATACAACTTTTCAATCTTGAAAAGTGTCCTCAGGACATGTACACTTTCCATGATATGTCCAGCTGACATGTCTGCGGCACATCTCTAAAAAATATTATTCAGCAACTTGAAATAATTTACTCATATATTAAATTAAGATTTCTTTACTGTTTTAATTTTTTATTATTTATTTATAAGTTTCAACCCTTATAAAAACCACCCCTTGCAAACAAATCGAACAATTATAGTTACAAATTTTTTTTAGTTCAAAATATAATACATACTATCTTTTTATTATTTAAAATGTAATGTATTTATTTTATCCAAATGGATTTTAATTTTTTTCTTATAACAATTTTTTTTAATTGCAAATAACATATCAAAAATGTAACTATGTCTGTGCCTAAAATATAGCTATAATGTGTATTAATATACGTGTTCTGATATCTGCAAAAATATGTGATTGGTTTTTTACCCATAACTCGCTCAGTTTTTATGACTTCAAAAAACCATTTTGTAGATTTTTTCAAGGGCTATAAGATCTAATGAGTTAAATTTTCTTTCAACCCTTATTTTTGTAAGGGTTTGAGCTGAAAGGGCTTGAAAAAGTTGCTATTTACGAACATATGCAAACTTTAAACAGCCATATCTTACTTAATTTTTATCCTACAGGAAAAAAAACCTACAATTTTGTACTCTACAAAATTTTGCATATCATTAATAGTTTTTGAGTTATTTTGAAGAAAAGACAATTTTTTCCAAAAATACAAAAAATCTCTTTTCACTTCAAACTCAACTTTTTTCAAAACTAAGCACTTTAAACCGGTCAAGCTTCTAAAGCATATTACAAATATATAAATAAAGTAAATTGTAGTGGTATCGATTTTTTTTAATTGGGGTGATAATTAGGGGGTGATTTTCACGTTTTTTTCGCCGAAAACGATACGGACCAACTTTATTTTCGTCATAACTCGTTTAGGTTTGATGCTAGGGACCTTTATAAAAAATAAAAATAAAGGTTTTTTCGAGCACTTTAAAAAAGGTTCTATGAGTATTCCTTGAAAAATGCGTTGGTTTTTGGTTATTTCACATTCAAACTTTCAATTTTGGCGTTTAACGAATAAGAACCAACCTTCAACAAGTATTACTCCACTTGTATTGGGTCTACAGACACCATAGATACACCATTCTTTTTGTTTTTTTATAAGCTACACTTTTTATAAGAATGATTTTTGTTTGATAAAATACTTAACTTTTTGAGTTATTCGCGAAAAATCATCTGAAAATGTTTTTTTTTGGTTAAAAAATTTACACTTTCACTCGCGAATAAGTTGTAAAGTATCGACTTTCAGAAAAAACTTTATAAAACAAAAGTTGATTAGAATTAGTCAATATATCCATTCCCGGAGTTATTTTCAATGTTTGGCAAAATTATACGGGAAAATGGTCATTGACTGGACTACGTTCCGTCTGTTTTAGGCCGCTAGCACACCCTCTCACAACCTCACATTTCAAACCGAGTACATGAAAATCCGTACAGAGTTCCTACAGTGCTTACTCCAATTGATTTACACATGCAATATTTTGTGCATAGTACCGCCACCAGCCATTGCTGCTACTATCGTACAGAATACTAGAGACGAATACCAAAGACACGGTTATATTACGAATCAACTGAGGAAATGCGTAAAAGAGATAAAAAATTGCGGAGACATGCACTGGAAATTGTACCAAACCGCTTTCGACGCTGATCCAGCTACGTTAGAGAATATGCAGATGTAAGTACTTTTTTATTATTAGAACCACGGCATTTACATTTTTATTGTTATAGAACAGCAAAACGAATATAATTTATTTGACGTTTGATTCTCTTTTTGATGAAATTGAACTACATCTTTTGTTGCAGACTTCAGCAAATGTGTGTCCTACTCGAGCAGTGCGTTGAGAGTATATGCGTCAGCGGTGCACGAGTAAGAGACGAACCGATTGAATTCGGCTCGAAAAATATAAGACTGGAATCCCAACAGCTGGTGAAGGCTTGCGAAAGCGCTTTGAAAGTGGCACAAAGCCTTTCAGAAGACTGCACTAACGCTACGATTACTCACAAGGTAATTTTTAGAATAGCGTCATTAGTAACGGTGATAAATATAACATTTGCAGCAAGTTGAAATCATTAAGGCCATAGTAGAGGTGCTAACCAACGCTTCGTTACCGATTCCCAGGTATTTCTTCCAAGTTTTGCAGTCCACTAGCGTGAAATTGGCCATATCGCCGCAGCCGCGGGTACTGGGGGAATTTATAAGCGTTCAAGCTGGTTCGCAGCTAGCGGTGAAGGTGGAGGGAGTCATACAGCACGGGATGAAGCCTGGGCTGTTTAGACGAATTAATGAGGTTATCATAACCGTAACTTCTCAGTTGCAGAGCAATCCAAAAAATAAGGAGGTTTTAGACCCAAAGGTAACGATATAACAGTTTCTTCTTTTACATAAACATATATTTCTGCTAAAATAATCTGAAAAGTATGTCATTAAAATACCCATTTTGGCAGCTGTAACAGCCGATTTCTTTTGTGCATTTGACTTTGTCTCTCGTCCATTGATGGGAACTTCAGTTCAACAAAATCATTTCACAAAATACCATATTTTATTACTGTTTAGGCATAACGTAAACGACAAGACATTTTTTAATTTCTTCTGACGTAGCGGACCGTATCGAGTGTGTGAATTTTGACTTCTAGAGTCTGTTGGCCTTCAATGGTTTTGTGTATTATTGTTTAAATCTAAAGTGGGGTCTAAAAATCTGCTCAATTCGATATTTTATGCAAAAGAAAATGTATTTGTTTTAACTTTCTAAATTACTGTCTAATTTCTTTGTTTAAATAGAATTTCGTTTTCAGCTTTTGGAGCAAGTGTCGGTTCTGACGCAAACCGTAACCCCCCACAAAGATTTCTTTACCGCCCAGTTCTTGCTCGCTTTTCCTAGAGGCGGGCAGTATTTGCTAGTAGTCGAAGCGTCTGTTGTCGACGAACAAAGCAATACGTGGAAAACTGGGCCGAGGTCTTCGCTCACTGTAAAAGTGCCCGAGGAGGCAAAATTAACGCCCATTTCTGTACCTGGAATGGCTAACAACGCCAATGTGTTAGTATTTGTTTTTCTTTTTCATATTTTTGATGTGGCAATTTTAAACAGGTAAATATTAAGGTAAATAGGAGATTTTACGTTCGAACATGAAGAGATAAAATATGAAATTCTTAAATCTTTTAAATAGCTGTTTGAAATTAGATTTAAACCGTTTCGTTTGTTTTCGTGTTACGGTGTTTCATTGTGAAATTAAAATACAATCGATTTACTTAGTGGATATTAATAGCCTCCACGTTTTAATTTGTGTCTCTTCATTCTAAAACTTTATTAGTTGAGACTTTCACAGAGGAATAAAAACTATTTCCCTAAATTTTATTATACATGCTCATTAGTTTTTGTTTCAAAAATGCAATACTTTTAGAATGGCCGAGCTCAAATGTATCGTAAAGCCATAAATAATCATTACGTCTCAGTACAATGTTTCAATATGAACTACAACAAAAAATGTGACTTACGAGAATTTAGAATTAAAGTGATGATGTAAGGTATAAGTAAAGCGCTTGACTATACTTTAATAGGTAATTCTGCATCAATATTTAACGAGTTAAGGGGACATATACAATTCAAACGACCAGAAAATAGATTTTTTTTTTATTCTTAAATGATAGAACGGTATGTGAAGAATATATTCTAAAAGTTTGAAAGCGAAATTCGAAAAACAACGGAAGTTATAGCCTGTAAACGTTGTGCAGGTATACTTATCGAACAGAATGTTTGTAGGACAATTAACCGTTTTCGGACGAGTTTCGGGAAAGAGCCGCCCAAGTTTTTTACAGTTCATAGTTGCCCTTCCCTCCACAGTGACGCTCGTTTGTTGAACGACTCCGTCTGCAAAGGATAGAATAGGAAGGGCTATTTACAGTTTTTCTCGAAACTAGGTTTCTGAAACTGGTGTACAAGATTATGTAAAAACAATTGAACCGATCGAGTTCCCCCTTGGTAGAAATGTTGATAACATTATTACATTCTATATGACGGAAATTGATTTTGGACAATTTTGAAAAAACTAATTTTTTATATGAATTCTGCAGAAATTTTGCATGAAAATTCAATTTTTGTCTAAATGCGTGCCGTTTTTGCAAATTTGCATATTTTTCATTTTTCTCAACGTCACATAGAAACTACACGTTTTAAATAAAGAAATTTTTGTATTTTGATGCGGACCGAATTTCACGGTGAGCTAAGCTGTACACCGTTTTGGAAGTCACGCCGCAACCTTGTGACTCTTTACCACAGCTTCGCCATTTTGGTGATGAAAGAATTAAAAAATGTTTTTTTATACTTGAATAACCTATTAAAGAACACCTACAGTCCGATTGTAGAATGAATATTTCTTAGTTTAAAAAATTCCTTAAAATCCACTCATTTTCCTCGGTCTAATCGTATATGTCCCCTTAAAAAAATGAACCGATCGGGTCGCACAAAAAAAACATTTTATAGGTTTTTTATTCTCTACAAAAGTCCTATTGAGAGTAAGATGATTCCATCATTATTTTTTGAGATATTATAAGAAAACCAAAAAAATTAATTTTTTTGCAGTTTTATTGTTAAAAAAAAAAATTGTTCATGACTTTGCTGAGGAAATCACTTGGGATTTCATTTACTAAGTATTTTTCGAAAGGTAATACATGAAATTTGATGTAGTGCCTACAGAGATATGTGTGTAGTTTAAAAAAAATGTTCTGAAGCGATTTCAATCAAATTTAGCACACAGCTTTAGTTTTAATTGTCCAAAAAATTGTATACGTAATTTTCACTCGATTTTTTTTTTTTTTTTTTTTTCATCCAATACATCCCAACTTTCATTACATTTTGACCACGTATTATGAAAATAAAGGGTTTATAGACACACACTTCTTTTAATATTTTGTGACGCAGAACCTTCCATTAAAGTTTGGTCGAATATTAGTTACGCCTTATACAATTTTCAATTTTTTTTCAGGATATTGATGCCTGAAGACAGTTTGTTTATCAGACCGCATCAAAAGAAATAAATCTGATGGAGAAATTTGTCAATGCAACTTGATTATGTAACAAATGTAATTTTATATTAGAATTATTGCAAAGAAAACTTTTTTTATAACTCTCCTCCTAAGTCCGTCTCCAACAGTCCATCGTTTTCATTTGCATAGGATTTTTCCAGTCCGAGTTGAACTTGCGTAGATAATGAATAGGAAATTGACAATAATTTTGGGATTAATTTTTATTGAAAAATATATATTTTTAGTAACAATTTGGTACAATACAAGATTCATAACAATGTCTAAAGAAACAAAAAACCCAATTATACATATAAAAAATAAACATTACAACAAATATAAATTTTATATAATAAAAATATGCGAATATGTGCAGTAAATACACTTAATAATAAAAAGGTATATTGTCTTTCTTATTTCTACTTACTACATATTTATACTTAAGAATTAGCAATGAAAAAATATCTCATTTATTCATTCGCAATTACTGGCACAATATATTTCTCACTCATGATATCATGGTAAATAAATGCAGGCTAATAGAAATCAACAAAAAAATATATCAAGATATAAAAGTTTGCAGAGGGGATTCTCTGATCAAAAATAAGAAAAACGGTTACTATGAACAAATATTTATTATATTTTTAGTTATTCTTATTTATTTTGATAGTTAAGTTGCCAAAGAAATTATGTTAGTTTTATTTAAAGTTATCGAGAAATTTCATAAAAATTATCACTATGTTTTAAATCACATTGGAACAGTTAGGTATAGATACAAAAAAAATGATCGAAGACAAATCAAAGAAGTTTCTCTTTTTACGTCAAAAAAAAAAACAGGGAGACTAGGTCAAGTCCAAAAAAATATATCATCCTGTAGATTTGAATATTTTGTATATTCCATCAATCCACAGAAAGTGTTAAATGTGTCAAATCTGAACAGATTATCTAACAGAAAAAATATGCAAAATACATGAGAATAACTAAAAATGTTATCACCCTGTATCTTCAAAATGAAACAGTAAAGGGTCGTTTATATTTTTTTTCTCAGAGAAATACCTGCATAAAGATAATTCTAAATCTACGGATTTGCATTTCTAAAAGCATCCAAATTCACTTTCATTCGTAGAAGCCATAATTATGTCAGTTAAAATAACATATAAGAACGTTTTGGAAGATACCATAAATTCAGGGATTGACGGGACATGAAAAAATAAGTTGTTTCAATATGGACTATGGGCCTGTTGTCTTATGTTTATGAGATGCACGGCTTCAAAATTTTTTAAAATCAAATTATACTCTTTTTCATATAAACATTTTTGATAAAAACCGAGCATTATTCAAGGGTAGCCCGTTTGGTTAAAAATATCAATCTGTATTGAATTACTTTGGTACAATTTTGCTTCCTTACAAAGAGCTTTCAAAAAATTTTTTCTATAATTCTGAAGACCTGTAATTTTGTAACAAAGCAAATTCTATTGTTTTTTGTAAAATTTGATTTAAAAAGTCATCTTTAATGCCCTGTATCTCGAAAACGAAATACCAAAATTTATGCTACTCTTTCCAAAACACCTGGAATAAATTAAAATCCATATCACTATTACTAATACAAATAAACATTCTAAGTAAAAAATTACGCAAAGAAATTAAAACGATATCTAAAGATCTTAGTTTGAAAAACGCTAATCTAATTAAAATTACGGTAAAGAAAGTGATTATACTCTTATGTATGTTTCGCCCCAGTCACCTACGATTAAATATACTACACCTTAATAGAGATAATATCAAGTATAATCAAATTTATATATAAATGTATACCGACTTATGTACTATAAGTAAAATAGACCCCATACAATTAATATGAAAAAAAAAAAATTACAATTGTATAAAAATAATTTGAAATTTCTATATTGGAAGCACAATATGCATTAAACAAATAATTGAGATAAGTACTTTGCAATAAGCCACTAATAACCCGAGATTATTATAAAAACAAAAAAATCATATCTTGAAAAAAATCGTGAATCATATTTTTTCCAACCTGCTGAATTATTAAATTTTAGTAGACTTACTACAAGTCCCCCTTTCCTAAAATATATATATATATATATATATTTAGGTTTTTCTTACTGTTAATATAAGAAGCATTTTCGTTAAAATTTACTTCAAAAAATTTTCCAATTATGTTTTTTTATATATGGCATGCCATTTAACACTCCCGATATCTCCAAAATGAAGAAATATATTTTAGTCCGGAAACTGTTAGTTCTGATCTTTCTGTATAGATGGTGTAGCGATACTAAACAATTTTTTCTATATCTATACAGAAAGATCTGAACTAACAGTTCTAACTACAATATGAGGCTATTCGAGGGACCTAACAACCCCAGTTTCCGGAACTAAAATAAATTTCTTCATTTCGGAGGTATTGGCAGCGGGAGTGTTAAATGTTACACCCTGTATAGTAATCTGATGTACTTACCGAACCAATTACTATGATCCAGTTCGTTTTTCACAGCCTACCGCGTTTTTTTAAGCAATTTTTCATAAAATTATATGGAATAACTTTTTTTTAATACAGACTTGAAATTTTAAAACGTTTGAAGTTTGTTTGATTTTAAGAATCTAAGTTTTGAAAATCTCAATTTTAGGTTCAAAAGTAGACCAGTTATAATCAGCACTAGTCATAAATTGGCTAATTTTGTATCTGAAGGCATTTTCAAAATCATTAAAGTGAAACAAATTGCATCAACCTAAAATTTTAATTCGCATAAATAAATTATTCCGAATTATAAGTTGCTAAAAGTGGTTAAGATACAGCGATTTTAAGTGATGTATCTGATGTGATCTATGTAGACAGTTTTAATAAAAAAAAATTGTCAAAGAGATTTTCCAAAAAATCACAGGTCATAATTTACTAATAGAATCATAGTGAGTACATCTACTAAATACAAAAAAAATTATTGGAACTATGCACCCCAAATAAATTTTAGAGGGGTGTGTCCTGTATAAAGGTATATATAAATTATTTAAAAAAATTAAAGAAAATCGTTAGTATTTATCACAACATATAAAAACGTATTGGAAATATTCAACTCCCGATTTACTCCAAAATTTTTAACAGGAATTTATTTAGTAATATTTTGATTATTTCAAATGGCATTTTCAATCAATATAGCTCCTTTCTACATTTACGATTAAACTTAAAACATCATATTTGTTTAATACCAACTAACGACAAATAATTAAACAACATCAAACAAGAATCAAGAACGAGATAAATCAAAAATGTCCCAAACGATATTGAAAACGAAGACATGCCAGTTATAGAACTAGTTAATTTTAAATAAATAGAATGGCACTTATTAGTTCCAGCCTAGTGTATAGAAGATATTTTAATCTCAGAGTTTAAGTTATTGGTCTGAGACTCCAAAATTCCTAAATTGAGTAAAGTATTTCTCAAATTAAAATGATTATCAAAAATAGTGGGACTACAAATTTAAGGATTGTTTGTTTATTAAGAATCGTTTTCTTTGGACTCCATATTTTTTATATATAAGGTATCATAGTTCTCAAAAAAAGTTGTACTTCTAAATATCCTCTGTCCAAACAAAAATAACGGAACAAAATTTTGTAAGCACAATATAACACTTTATGAATTGCCGATTTGTACTAAAATGGTAAAAACTATATAAAAAAGCTCATTTTTGTTGAAAATAAAATTGAATTTCAGTAAACATTTTTTTCCGGTGGCATTTTTGAGAAAAGTGTAACCGGCATAGCTCTTACCTACGACACCGTTTTTTTCATGTATTGTACACACACAACTTTGCTTAAATGTTTCTATTTGCTCAGAAAATAATATTCACAGATACATTCTTTTCACAACACCCTGTACCTCAAAAGCGAAAGCCTCAACGGAAAATTTTTATATCAGAAAATGATGTCAATTTCGACATGAGGGGGTAAAACTAATTACATTTTTGCCAGATTGCCACTTTTTTATTTAATGGAACACCCTGTATATTTTTACTTATTTCAATACAACTCTTTCGTATGATTACGACGTGATGTCTTTAATGTTAAGGTTACAACAAATTTAGGAGAGAAAAGAACTAGGAAGAACATCGGCAGAAATATCACCAAATTTGGTTAGTGGTGGGGGTATTTTTCCACTCCTGCAATAGTAATTACTTTGATTGTGTCAAAAAGTGACATCTATACACGATAATAGCATACTAAATTTTATTTAAATCAGAAAAAGCGTTTTAAGAGTTATCTGGGAAAAATTTATATATTTTGTTAATTTTGACGACCCCTAGGGGCAAAACGAGGTAACTTTGTATTGTACGTCAAATTTAGTTAAACCTTCTCATTTTGATTCCTAGATTCTAAAAATTTCTTATTATATCTGAAGAAGTGGCAATATTGCAACAATGTAACTGCTGTTACCCGATCGAACTTGTTCTTATACGCCTGAATATCTTTGACAGTCACTAGAAAAGTTATGTATATGTCGTTTAAAAATTTCAATCAAATTTTACTCACCGAGTAAAATCTGTTTTGTCTTTCTCTTTTGTCACATAGGCCCTACATATGGTAGTAACCTCCCATCGGGCGATCTATTATAATCCCTCACTACAATCTCTTCGTTAACATAGTCTCCACTACGACCCCCGCTCTTACTCAACAAATGAATATCCGTTATGACAATAGTCTTACTGACCGCCTTACACATATCATAAACCGTCAAAGCGGCAACGCTAACGGCGGTCAGTGCCTCCATTTCGACGCCAGTTTTCCCCTCACATTGAACCGCGGCGTAGATAATCACTTCCTGCGTCTTACTGTCCAACTCGGCGGTGACCCTTACGCTGTTCAATGGAATATTGTGGCAGAGGGGTATGAGAGCGGAGGTTTTCTTCGCTCCTATAATCCCCGCTAGTTCGGCGATGCTCAGTACGTCGCCTTTCTTCAGGGCGTTCTCCTTGATGAGGTGCGAGATTTCTGGGCCCACTTTTACCTTCGCCGTTGCTTTGGCGGTGCGTGTCGTTACCGACTTGTCCGACACGTTCACCATTCTCGCCTTGCCGTGTTGATCTACGTGAGTGAGTATGGGTTTTGGGTCTGTCGCAAAAGTTCTAATAGCGGTTTGAATGTTGACTTTCGGAATTAAATGGAGTAGTGGGGTATTTATATTAATGGAAATGGGCGACTTCAGTTGCGGGGGAGATTCTGAAAAATAATATCACAGTTAATGTAAAACTAAAATTGTCTACAAGACTCAATTAAAAAGGGTTTGGTAAAAAAAATTGTCACAATTTGATAAATTTGCATCAGTTTCCAATACCTGTTTTATATTTACCAATTTTTTACTCAAATTGATCAAGAAATTGGTTAAGTTATATCGGGTATTCACTTAAATCAGGTATCTGTACCAGAATTTGACTTCACTGGATATTTTACAAATTCTATCGCTATCTGTAATTTCTTATGGTGTTTCCAAGAAAAAAGATATCCTTCACTTCTCAAAATGTAAAATAACTAGCACATGCGGACTATTGAATAATAATATACCACCCCTTCTCCCACACAAGTCTTTGACTTCTAGGCTAATAGTTGTGATTAGAATGAGGGGTAGAGATATTATTATTATTAACTATTCGTTCCCCAAAAAAAGTTCAGAGGATTTTTTGTTAGAAATTCAATTTTAAGTAGGTACAAACTAATTATGAAAAAATTAACGGCATAGAAACTTTGCATTTTAGTAGAGGTAGCAAAGGGTATGGTCAGAAAAAAAAATTGCACCATTATCATCTCCGATTTTTTATGAATACGTTATATTTAAAATTGTATATTTAGGAAAAAAAAGCAAAAACTTTTTTCATGAAACGAGTAGTTGTAGAATTAGTGGCAAATGTTTCAAAATTAATATTTTGAGAATGCTTTCGATAAATTACAAACTGTTCTTTTGCCTTCAATATTGTGTCCAATTTATTGAATCTATAAAATTTGCCACAATTTCTGTATTAGTCACACCAGTATAATTTCTCAATTAATTTATTGGGCCAATAATTATTAAATGTAAAACAGGTTTCGGGGTTTCAAACAAGTTTAATCTTTGCTTTGAATGGAATTGTTTTATTTTTCACATCTAAATACTTTATATCAAAGTTTCTATTGCATTTTACTTAAATAATCAAAAATATGTATATAATAAAACAAGCGATTATTGGTAGCATTATATTATTTTATTGCCTTTGTAAAGAATAAACCATTTATGACTGTTAACAGATAATAATAATTAGGCATAATAAAATATAATGAAAAAACTGTAACAAGTGCATTAAAGATTAAAAAAATAACTAAAACCACCAAAATCTATTAGAAATTCAAAGATTCATACGTGTAATCAAAATAAATTGAAAAAATTATTTGCTATGCAAATTTTAAGTTGTTATATTTTAGAAAAATAGTGCAAGGGGAAGGTTTATTATTTAAAAAATGTGTGCAATAAGAACACAGTATGTGTATTATAAAATTTCAGTGCACATTAAAAATGTTATAATACATGCCGTTTTATTCCACAAATATATTGGTGTTTATTAACAAACATTAAATGAAAATTGCATTCAGGAATTGAACTTCAAATATATTCATAAATTTAAAAAATGAATTCCAAAAATGTATCTAAATCCCATCAAATCTACGACAACATTCGTAGACTGATTAATATATTTCTGCATTCTTCAAAATATTTCTTCTAGGTTTCCAATTCGTGGCATTTTTTAAATTTTTTGTTTCATTGAGATCTCTGCCACATATGAGCTAATAAAAAATGTTTAATTTTATAAAACTGGTGTTTTTTACCTTTTATTGTTACTTGGACAATACATGTTTTGCAAATTTTAAATAACACGTTTGGTATTATCATTACCTTGATCGTGAAACAAATTTTAATCGGATCAGGTGATTAGAGGAAAGCTACTGCTTTAATTAGTCTTTTTAAGTGCTTATAAACGTTTCCGTTATTTATAAGTGCACACTAAATTGATCATAAATTTGGTAATCTCTTTTTACAATCTTTCTAATTACACATTTGTTTTTTACTGTGTACTTACGTGTCCTGATAATAATCCATAAAATATTCCATATTTATTTTATTACTTAATACTCAAATAGAAAAACAAAGTTTATATCCTTGGAATATTTAACTTATTGTCCAGGGTTGCTAATGTTCTTTACTAATCACAAGAAAGCCATTTAATATGCTTATTTTCAAAAATTCTGAGTTTTGAAACTGTCAAGTTAGCATTAAACCTAACAATGATTGCAAGAACTGGATAAATGATACAATTATATTGTCACACGATCACAATAAAAAAAAGGATATTTTTTGTCTTTCAGTTAAAAGGTTATATGAAAATTATGTGAAAATTGTAGATAAGCAACCACTTTCTCGTTACACCAGCTTAAGATAATAGAGAATAGGCAAATCTATTTTTCATCAAAATAAAGTGAACCTATCGCCTTTTTTTTATGAAATTCAAGACATAAACGAACAAGTTTTTGTGGTGTTTTTAACCAACGATATTGTGGGACTACTTCAAGGCCATATATCCCTATTTGTATTGAATTACAGTCCCAATATCTGGTAAGGAGAATCATCAGACGTACACTGGTTTAGAACTTAATTAGTTCTCAGTATGCCAACTATTATTTATTTTGTAGGTTACATCTTACCCACACTGAAAACATATTTACAAATAGACATCCAAATTGTTACAATGTACGTTGGCCTTCTTACCTATATATGTTAGACGGATGAAAACTAACAAGTTCAAAACAAATCAATGTCTGACGACTCTCCTGGCTATTTACTAGATATTGATTGTTAATTCAGTGCTAGTCAGGGCACGTGGAATAGTTAGAGTACAGATTAGTAGGTCACTCTTTGACAGTAATTACAAAGCACTGCTTTGTGCCTGTCATAAAGCAGTAACGACATTTGAGATGTGAAATATGACATATAGTTTGTTTTAAGGCATTAATATAGTTTAACAGAATCACAATAGAAAAGCACATAAAAATACTTAATAAATTTTTAATAAAAAGTGTTGCTTACAGTTTTTTAAAGCACAGTGTTTAGTTTGTGAACCTGTGTCAAAAACCTCTGACAATATTTTAGGCGAACCACGTGATATCAATCCACCTGATGTGATTTGACAACAGGGTGCTAAGCGGACAAAAAACAAATGAACAACGTTAACTTGGCGAAGCAAGATTGGCTGAACGAAAATCAAGTTAATCAAAAAATAGCAACTATCTCAAAAACAAAAGACAATAAGGCGCATGACCCATGACGTTTAGTATTTTTATGTTCTACTAGTCCCCTGTATAATCATCGTAAAAGCTATCGATTTATCAAACAAAATTTATGTTAATAATATTTATAAAAGTTCAGATCGTATTAGCACTGTAACAAAACCTCAATTACACACACAGTTTACTTTAAAACCAGAACACTATTAAGGTCTAACCGATCAACTAAAGCAGTAAGAACTTGCCTACTCTACCTTGTAAATGAAAAATAAGCCTATCCACCAATAAGAATCATTGGTCTATTTTCCATTTGGGAAATATTCAGCATGCCTGTAAAAATATATATTAACTGTTGTAGCTACGCCACCCACCCAAGAAAATTAGTAGAATAAGCGAGGTGTTAATACTAGTGCCACTATTATACTGTACATAAAATTATATATTTTTTTTGAGATACCTGCGTGCTGTTTCTTTTTCCTCTTAACCGCGGCGCTTATCAGCGCGGTTAGGTCTTCATCGGAGCAATTACTTCTAATGGCATCCCTTAATGAAACCTCCGTATTACCGAACAGGCAAACTTTTAAGTTGCCATCCGCAGTGATTCTCAGCCTGTTGCATGACCCACAGAAGTGTTCACTCATCGACGTTATGAAACCTACTTGACCTTTGAAACCAGGCACTTTCCAAGCCTTCCGAATGATTTCAAGTAAATATTAATATAGAATTTCGATAATTATATAGAACGGTAAGGCCTCAGATCTCCTTACTTTTCTTACGATATTATGATGCCTAAAAGGTGCACTACATGCAGGGCAAATAGACTCCGTACATTTTTTTCAATCGTTAGGTTAACATTTTCTCGAAGCAGTTCAAATATACCAATAACATCAAAAACATTAAAAAAAATGAAGTTATAGTATTCCCATATAGCAAAGGTATAATTTTATCACATCGATTGCAAAAGTGTTAAAACATATATGCCCTGTACCGCAGTCATGCTATTGCTGATTCATACTATACGCATATTAAATTAACGAAGTCGAAAAAGTTTTTAATTTTGTAAATCCATGTAATCACATCTCGCATCTAGGGAAAAATATATCAATTTAGTAAGTTTCAAAGAACGCATAGAGATTTTTTCCTAAAACAAGTTGGCAATACTATTATTTTGAAGCAATAGAGTGATGACACTTTACCTAACCTAACTTTTATATTATTATTCAAATTAAGGAGATTTGAAGTTGTGCCTTTCCTCTATATAATTATCAAAAATATTAGTACCATGTTACCTTTGAGGTGTCATTTGGATTATTTTTCAAGGGAGCGAAATCTGACCAAATCGATTTTATTTTCTTTACCATATCTTGATAGGTAACCAGTTTGTCAACTTCCCACTTGTTCCCGGTAAAAGGCATATATTCAATAAACCTTACATCAAGGTTTTTATTTTTTGTTAACTCTACAAAATTAATTATCTCATCCTCGTTGAAATCTAAAAAAATTATGAGTGATGGAGTATACAGGCTATAATTAAAATGCTTGGTCAAATTTTCTGAATTTGCCACAATTTAATAAACAAAATTCCTATCAGTATGTGTCTGAAAGCACTTCGTTTTCGAGATACAAGGAATTGAAAAATGGATTTGTTTCAAGTCGCAGAAAACAATTCGAGAAAGTCAATCTCATAATACACGTAAATTACATTCTCTTTCAATAATTATACTGAATTTTTTCTATAATTTGTGCCCTGAAGAAGATACTAGGTCCAACTTTGGTAAAATAATATTAGCATTTTTTCAAGGCAGCCAAAACTATTTTTGTTTTCAGCTGTACAACTATACAAACTAATAACTAACTTACCTTTCATTACGACACAATTTAATTTCACAGGATCGTATCCTAATTGCAGAGCCAAATCCACACCAAGCATTACCCGTTGCCATCCTTTTCTACGAGTGATACGTTCGTAACGCTCCGGGATCAATGTATCCAGACTCACATTTATAATATCCAATCCAGCCCGTTGCAAAGCCACTAACTGCCTAGTCAACATTAATCCATTTGTTGTCATTGCAACTACTTCGAGTCCTTTGATTTGTTTCAAATTTGCTAAAAAAATATACCTACATTTTAGAGACACGTAAACATTAACTGGTCTTCACTTACAGATTATATCTACTATATCTTTTCTTACTGTTGGTTCACCACCTGTGAGTCTTATTTTATTAACACCTTCTTGAACAAATAGATTCGCAATTTTTAAAATCTCATCGGTGGTCAGTAGTTTTTCCTTTTCGGTCAGTTTTACTCCTTCAGCTGGCATACAGTACTGACCTATTAAAATAAATTTTTAAGGTAAATACCTATTCCACTGTAATGGTACCCTAAATTACTTACATCTTAAATTGCACCTCTCTGTTAAAGATATCCTTAAGTAATTATGGTGTCTGCCAAATAAATCATTCAAGGGGCTCTCTGTGGCTACATTGGGCTAAAAAAATAATCGAAAATTATATGAATTTTAAAACTATAGAACATTTTAGCACCTTCACTTCTTTTAGTGGACTAGATGTTTTTAAAGACAATGTCCTTTTCCCTATTTGGAAAAATAATTTGGAATATGAAGCAGACATAACTGCCGACTCTAAATAAACTTATAACTTGAGTATACAGAACGTAAGTACTTAAATAATCACAATATCAATATCAAATGATATCAAATCTATTGTTATATGTACCTCCAAACCCAAACGAAATAATTTAAAAATAATGATGTTTACCGAAGTATAATTAAATGATCTTTAATTAGTTTTATCAGCTATTTGATCAATAAACGTTATAACCTCTGGATTAAAATTAGGCGCAACAAAACTAGTTTCTAATTTTCTTCACGTGCACTCATGGACTCATGCACAATGCACACTATATTTATTAACCTTGTATTCTTCAACTGCTTACAAATAATACAAATTTTCAAGAATGAACATTACTTCGCGTTGAGAGAAAACGTTATAAATACATAATAGTTAAAAATATAAATAGAGAAAAACAATAAATGGTAATAATTTTGGAGTTGACAGAATATATTAACATATAAATTATATTACAACTGGTTTGAAATAAGACGTAGACAATAACAACAAATTAATAAATCGATAAAAAAACTGTTTAAAAATAAAGTGAAAGTATAAACAAAAATAAACCAAAATGAATATGTTCAAGGCCAATGCAATAAAGGATAAAGGTTACACTACACTACGGAGTTTATACAAACAGTGAAGAAAAACAGTATATTATATGTTTTGTAGTGAAGACTTTTCTTTTGGTCACGTATACATTATACACAAATTCGGGTCCCGTTTTTTGACCCAAAGTAAATAAGTGCTGATGCACTGGAAAGTCTAGTAACGAAGTAGCGCTTACAACATTAGAAGCAGCAGTAGATGAGAGGAATGATTTATTTAATATTCATTAAGAAATTAGCAAAAAAATAAAAGTTACATTTATATAAACATTGTCATTTTAAATTTCTCGCTCATCTTTCAGCGCCGCCTTTACCTGACACAAGAAATGGCTCACTTTTTTTAACACTAACTTTTCACTACTTCACTTCACTCCTCGTGTTAACTCCACAACAAACATAGTCCACCTCCTACCCAAACCCAAATCTATGAAGTCAAATTAAATTGCAACATTTACAACTGTGAGAATACTGAATCAGAGACAAGACTGAATACAGAATACTTAATTTAATTTATTAAATTATTACTTAAATACTGCTGCACACAAAACATATAATAGACTGCTGCACTAGACATCACTGGAGTAGTAATGAGTGCTCTAGTGGACTACTTAAAATCAGCAAAAAGGACATTCATTGTAATAACTTTTTAATTAAAATATATTAAATACAATAATATAATTTTTTCAGGAAAATTTAAATTCATCTCTTGATGTACATATTGTAATTGGCAATGAATCTTGTGATTTGGATTCAACTGTGTCTTCCCTTGTATTAGCATTTTTTTTAGACAAATACAAAATTCCTCAAATTCCTAATTCAGCTATAATAATCCCCATATTAAATGTTACCTATGAGAATTTTTTACTTCGTACAGAAAACTGCTTTGTACTACAAGAATGTGAAATACCTCTGACATCTTTAATTTACAGGTAGAAGTAATTTTTTCAGAATCAATTAGATAATCAGGTACTTACAGGAATGAAGTTAATATCGAGGAACTTTTAAAAACAAAACGGATAACTGCCTCACTTGTAGATCACCACGTTTTATCAAAAAATGATTGCTTAGTAGAATCAAGAGTAGTGGAAATATTTGATCACAGACCATTTGATGTTAATAGTAAATGGAAGAATCAAAATATTAAACTGAGAATTGAAGAAGTAGGTTCATGTTCCACTTTAATTGCAGATGAAATTCTTCGGAGAGATGAAAGTTTTTTAACTAAAGATTTAGCATATATGATTTATGGTAAGTCATAATTTTACTAAAATTAAAATTCAAGAAACAAATTTCTATTAATTTAAATAATTTTGTTTCAGAAACCATCATTTACGATACTATAGCTCTACGCCCCGAAAATGGACGAGCGAAAGAATTAGATGTTAGTATCGCCAAAAAATTGGAAGATAAGTTCTGTTTTAAAGAAGGAAGAGGCATAATTTATAATAAATTATGGGCAGCGCATAATGATGTTTCACATTTATCTCCGAGGCAGATTTTATTAAAAGATTTAAAAATTGTGGAAAATATACCTGTACCGGGTCTGCCAATGTTAGTGCAAAATTTTTTTAAAATTACAGATGCTTATAATGCAGTAGAAAACATGGCAGATGAATACGAAGTTTCATTAGTGATTCTGATAGGTTTAGACGCATCTGAAGAAGTTAAGAGAGATGTAGCTATTTTCTGGAGAGACGATGGTATAGAGCTAAAAAATATGTTGTTAACAACATTAACTAACAGTGAGGAATTGAAGGGTTATAATTTCTGCTTCCAAGAAATAAATACAGGATGTACTAATGTTGTATGTTTAAGACAAAACAATGTAAAGTTATCAAGAAAACAAATTATACCTTTAATTAAATATGCTCTTTTGAAAAATGGAAATTAGTTAATACACGTTCTATAGAATTATTTTTTTGTTGCTTTTTATTTAAAACGCCCTATATATTTGTCTTTTTTAAATATTTTTTTCTGATTACGAGAGTACAATTTATTCATTTCTTTTTTTATATATTAGAAATTCTTATTTGATAATCACGTTATTTGACATGTATCTATAAAGATTATTATATAAATTAAATAAAGTCGATAAAACTTTCATTCAAAAAAATTTAAAAGACGCGCCCAATGTATACAAAACATTCGTTTTGATTTAACTCACGCCACCAGGTGGTGTCGAAAATGTTGAACAGAAATTCTACGTTCACCTTACTGTTCCATGGTTCTATGATTCAGGATTGTCAAATCTATGTGAAAAATGATAAAGAGGTTATGAAGATATTTGTATGTAAACATTACCATGTGATTACTAAATCTATTCTATGGTGAACGTTAATAATCCGTTTATTAACGAATTACGAAATTGACTTTAAATATCCAATAGAATAAAATTAAAAGTTATGTCGCTTTTTCCGGCATATGCTAATGAGGACACAGTGACTGAACAAGAACATACCGAAAAGCAGTGGCTGCAAAATTCAAGTTTTCGGGAAAATCTTTCTTTACCAAATGTGTCGGCAGTTTCCTTGAGCAAATTTAATGATAGTACCACCTCAACTGAAGATGAGCAAACTTCGGTTGAACATAAAAGAAAGCATAAAACGAAAAAGCAAAAAGTTAAGAAAGTTAGACAGCTAGCAGATACTTCAAAGAAACTAAGTGATAATTTCGTTGTGGATACTAAAAGGATTAAAGAATATTTGACTGTTCCTACTATATCACGACCATCAGCACCTAGGTACCGTGTCCTTTACAAACAAAATTTTGCAAGGAAAACACGAAAACAAAAGTATAAACGTTATTACCAGATTATGTTTGAAAAAAATGTAGACAAAAGCAATTCAGAGGAAGATACTCCTTTAACGGTAAAAAATTTGGATAAATCTGAACATAACAGTAAAGATGAAAACTTTACGGGTTTTAAACAAGAGGAAGAATTAACACAAAAAACAGGTTACTTCAATCGTTATTTGGGTGAAAATCCAAATGATGTACAAGTGTGGTTAGAATATATACAGTTTCAAGATACTATTTATCAGTTTGAAAAAAGTTACCGTAAAGGCAGTATCGCAAAAGCCCAAAGAGTTTTAGCAGAAAGAAAATTGGCCATCCTCGACAAAGCTTTATCGTTAAATTCAAGTTGTGAACAGTTGCTTAGGGAGAGATTAAAAATAGCTGTTAGTGCATATCCTGCTGACGAACTTCAAGTTTATTTACAAAATTTGGTAGAGAAAGACAAGAGTAATATTATTCTGTGGCAGGGTTATATTGAAGCTACGCAGTGTTCAATGTCACATTGTAATACTCCAGCAGTACTGAGTCTTTATTCTAAGTGTTTATCGACTTTACACCAGCTAAGGCGTAATACAAGTTTAGAAAAACATCTACTGGAAGAGAATATCTTGAGAATGTTGTATCAATGTGGATTGTTCTTAAAACAGGCAGGGTTGTTCGAACAACTTTGGACTTTATTACGTTTGTACTTAGAACTAAATTTATCGCCCAACGACAAAAAAAAATTTAACATTGCCTCCGGATTCGATGAGAAACATCTGGTTGAACTGGAAGAAGTCGTTTTTAATTCTCAGCTACCGTTGCATGAATTGTGGCTGAGAACGGAAAAACTGAGGGAATCATGTCACTGGTTACCGTACTTGGAAGATGAAGTATGTGAGGATCCACAGCGGATTGTGTTCACGGAAGATGTAGCTGAATTGATTCATCCCATTACTATGCCTGAAAACATATTCAAATTAACTGCCACAGTTTTTTCACTACTTAAGATCCCGTTGTTGCCATGCAGACATACAACAATGCAGGAATTAGGTCTAGACTACGTTCCGTGGAGTTTAGATTCAATCGAACCTTTGTTGTCTGTATTTCTGCCGTTGTATCCTATCGATATAACTAACGAAAACTTGTTAAATGACAGCAAGTTAACTGTAGGTCCTCAGTACTTGAAGGTACTGCCAGGCCAAGAGGAATACTTAAAATTTATCTTAATTGTTATGCAGAACAGTGCCGATTGTTTAACCGGTGACGATAAATTTGCCGTTACTGTTTGGTGGTTTCGTTTTCAAAGGTTACTAATAATTATGGAGAAGTTGAAGAGGTTCAAGATTGGAGAACAATTTAAGAAGCAAATGAAGAAAAATATGAAGTCATTAATGAAACAAGAAGGCAACAGGCAAAATGAGATATTTTATGTGGAATATGCGTTAATTGAATATGAATTTGGTAACATAGACGCTTGTGTAAATATTTTGAAAACTACAGTGAGCACAAATAAGAATGCCGTTATTGCAACTAAGAATTGGGATAATCCTCAAGTTACGCAATGTCATTTATATCGAATTTTAGTTCAGATGACATTAATACTAGACGGAGACCCAAATGAAAATAAAACTGTTGCTCTGAAGTACTTGTGCGAACTAGCTCAGCAAAAACGGGTAGATGTTGTGACGAAGGATTTACTTCAAGAAGTAGAGGTGCGGTATAAACTTCTTACGTGGCAAATACTGCACAATGATTTTTCTAAACTACCAACTTTATTCCATTTTTTACCAGATTTCTTAACAGACTGGCTCATCTGCCACGGTTGGTTCATCTACCTAACGAAAGGTCCTATTGAATGTGGAGTGTTTATAGAGAAAAGTTTGAAATCCTTGGAAGAAAAGGACCAAAACATCGCATGGCAAAAAGAAGTGTTGTACGAATTTTATGTAGCGATCCTTTTCAAATATTGTCTAAGCCAACCAGGTTGTGGAGTTTTTAAAATCCTCGATGACGTTTTGTATAAAGCCATAAAGGAATATCCAAACAATTTATTTTTGCTCTCCGTACTAGCGAAAGAGCAAAGTCTTGTGTTTTCTTTGGGACAACCGTGGTGGAAGATACAAGACATGCTACTCAAATCTGGGAGAGCGTTTTCAATCTTCTTCTCGATTATTATTTCTGGCCAGCAGATATTTCAACTGGAAGAAATGTGTACGGATACAATTACAGGTAATAGGAAATTTATTTTTGTTATCCATTTAACCTGACGATTTCCAAAATAATATTTAATGTATGCAACTAGGCTTGCCAGGTCATTACCGCAGTTTAGCGGGAGATATGTGTAAAAAACTGTTATTTCTCAATTATTGTAACACCTGCTCATTTCGTTTTAGGTGAAAGGTACAGCATAAATACAAACATTAAAAACAGAGTATTAGCTCTCTTTAAGAAAATAACGAAGGCAGAGATGTGCACCAGACGGTGTGGTTTAGTGTGGAGGCTGTACCTTCAGTTTGTACAGAAATATTTTTCATTAGGTATTTGTCGTAACGTTTATTATTCTGCGGTTGAGGAATGTCCTTGGCTTAAGGTAACGACCGCTTAATATAAATATTACACGCAGTCTTTTTAATGTGTATTTTTTTAGGCTTTGTATCTAGATGCTGCTATTTATATACCAGCTGAACTATCTCAAATTCAAGACTTGATTATTGAGAAACAATTAAGGTTACACGTGACTCCAGAAGAGTTAGATGTATTGAGGAGTTAGTTTTTATCTGTGATATATATTTAGATAAGAAAAAATTTGTTTATTGCAGTGTAAAATTATTTTTATCTCGGAACTATATGTTTGCTCATAATAAATTGTACTTTGATTAAATTTACCCAAAAACCTTGTAGTGTTTTAGATAATCAGGTACATCCATCCCGTATACACATTTTACAAAAGCCTCTGATCGCATCAATCATAAATTGTCAATATTAAAATTATCATACTTTGTATGTACCTTGAGGATCCAATCTAGGACCCTCATTATGTTTGCTATTTATTAATCACTTCATTGAGTTACAATATATGCTTCGTCCAAGTAAGCATAAAGTAAAGCTTATACATGTGGCAGGTGCGTTAGGCAAAAAAAACGCAAATATCTATTAAAAATGTATAATTTTATTTACATTTTATAAAATAAAATTTATCCTAAAGCATCACAATTTTAATGGTTTAAGTTTATTAGTTTTACTCCAGCAATAGTCTAACACATCTTTGGACATGGAACTTGAAAACGAGCAGCCTTTCTTTGAGAAATAACTAAAATATAAAATAAAAGTTTCAACAACTAGCTCGTTTGTAGATACAATAACAAAAAAAGAAGTCACGAAGACAATTATAACTGTTTACGTGCGTGTACTGAAAATTTACCACTAAGCATGGAATGCTATTTTAAAAGTATAGTTTACGACAATATAACTTACCGTCTAAATTATTTAATACTCGATTATTGTCCCATTCATCGGAACCATCACAACAGTCACATATACCATCATTCACTTTAGAAGAATGAACTGCCTTTCTAAAATTCTTAACGTCGACCTGATTTGCACAGAAGAACAGACCGTTTGGACAAGCACTCGTTCCAGGCTCGTCGGAGCCATCCAAACAATCACAGTAGTCGTCATTGACTTTTTGAAATTCTATTACTTCCAAGCTTCTAATACAATTAAATTTATTTTCATTATTAGGTATATAAAATCTACTTTCTTGTTCGTGAATTCCCCGAATTAGGTTAGGTTTAGTGTTTTCGTTGCTGATTTGAACAAATATAACAATTTGATATACAATAAATATCAGGGAAATAAGTAGTAGTGGAATTATGAAGAAAGAAATTTTCCTCCTCTTAAATAAGAGACATTTCTTTAGAAACATTTCATTGAATTACAACATAATCCTACTCTAGACACATTCGCACAAAAACAACTTTATCTTTATAGTTTAACATGTACATTATTACTACAAAATGTAAAGAAATAATCAAAAGTTAATGGTAATATTTGAATGTGAGTTGATTAAATTAAAAAACTGATAACACTATTTTTATCTTTAAAATTATCCTAGAATGGTTTTTATTTTTTAAAATTCGCGCTTCCGTACTGTTGTTGTTTGGAGTCGGAGTGTGTTCAGAGTTCAGAGGGCCTTTCGATTTAGCAAAAATAGTAGCTATTAGTAGCTAATAGCAACTTAGAGTTACTCTGAACTGATATTAGTTGCTAATAGGTACTATTTTTGCCAAAACGAAAGCCCCCCAGATATACAATGGGTAACATATGCATTATTTTACAAGGTGATTTTTAACCTATTGTGTACCCAAATTTGTATCTATATCTAAAGCAAACCTCTTTAGATATAGATATAAAACAAAAAAACCATTGTCAGCGGTCATCTTTGCACGATCCTTATGATTAATTTCAAAATCCATATTCATACAAACTTTTTTCCATATTATTATTATGAGTAAAATTATGTATCCAAATTTTGCATGTGGGTTAAGAATCTCGCTGTATAGAACAGAATAATCAAATTAATGAACGTATCTCAAAAGTACCAACTTCAAGGATCATCAAAGATAAATCACACAATAAAGAACTCGTTCTTTATTCTGTTCTGTATTCTGTGGATAGTGATAAATGACAGAAGAAAGGAAACTTTTTCTCATTTCTCCATAATTTTTTTATTTCCTTCTTCCTTGTCAAAGTTGAAGCCCTTCTATTTTGTGCGTTCTTGTTCTGTGTTTTCTAATGTAATGAGAAGCTGAGAAAGTTTTACAGATAAAAGGAAAGAAGTGAAATTTCCCATCTCAAATAATGGACAGCAAAAATGTAAATAGCGATGAAGGTAATAATTTGTAAAGTAAAAATTATTGTTTCAAACTGTACATTTTTTTCTAGAGAGCGCTCCATCAAAGCAAACATCCAAGCAAAGTAATATTTTGCCATTATGGGGAAACGAAAGAACAATGAATCTAAATCCATTAATACTAACAAATATACAGAGTTCGCATTACTTTAAGGGTAGGTATGACAAATATTCGATACCATACTTGTTCCTTATAATTAGCTCCTGACATTTTTAGTTAATTTATATGAACTGAAGACTTACCACGAAGTTGTAGATGAAATATACTACAAAGTTAACCATTTAGAACCTTGGGAAAAAGGATCGCGCAGGACATCCGGCCAGACAGGCATGTGTGGTGGAGTTCGAGGTGTCGGTGCGGGTGGAATAGTTTCCACAGCTTACTGCCTCCTATATAAGTTATTTACATTAAAACTAACAAGAAAACAATTAAACGGATTGATATCTCATTGTGATTCACCATATATCCGCGCCTTGGGTTTTATGTACATTAGGTACACATTTCCGCCACCTAGCCTTTTAGAATGGTACGAAGAGTATTTGGAGGATGAAGAGGTGCGTAATGAAAGGTAGAGTGATACCTATCAATTTTTTCAGGTTATTTTCATATGAGGTACTCGTTGAGGTTATTGCTTTATATACACAGTGTTGCAGGAACTTGATGTAAAAGCCGGTGGTGGTCAAACGATGACCATCGGCATGATGTTGAGGCAGTGGTTGGTGAAGTTGGAGTGGTTCTCTACATTGTTTCCTAGAATTCCCGTTTCTATACAACAGAAAATTCAGAAACACCTAGAGGTAGGTTATAGTCTAGATTTGTTGACAGGAAAATGCATGTATTTTTTATTTTTAACGTAGAAATGTGTTAACTGATATATTGTCCAAGGGAATATGGATTGCAAGAATGAGAATTTGCAAACTGGAGCAATTTGGCAAGTTGCCATTTATATAAACTACAGTTCATGCACTTCTAAGAGAATGAGATGAATGAATTTGTGCAATGTGGAGAATGAAAGCTATTTGTGAAGAAATGTAACGTAAACTCTTAGATTAACCAGTTAATGCCTATTGAATTGTTTTTTTTTTAAAACGTCAATTGTACGTAAAGGGTGCACCAATTTTTGACACTTGCAGAGAGATCGACAGAAAGTAGTTAATATATCTCACGTTTTATTTTGTAGAAAAATTTTAAGATTTTAAACCGATTGATATCTTGATTCGTTTGAGTAGTTCTAAAAAAATAAGTTTCTCAAATAAGTGTTCAATTTCCCTCATGAATCTACCCAGAGACTTAACTGCTTTTTGTCTACCTCCTGGGAAATACAAAACCTCCCTTAATCTCGAAATTGACCCATCCTGTATAAAAATCTTGATACTTTAATAAATGACCAGTCGATACACCTAAGTAGTTTTACACATTTTAGAATATTTTCAGGTAGGTTGTTAGGAGCAGTCTCTAACAAATTATGGTCTCTAAAGTCGGTTAATTATTTTTTTATAGGACCTTTGGAATGTTATGAACAAGGGACTGTTTCTTTGTAATAAACAAACTAATTTTGCAGAATCGTTTTCCTCCTCACGCTGTTCAAGCCGCGTCTGAACGGGCGAGGCAAGACAGAAAGTACGATCGAGGTGAATCCAGAGGCTTCGAGAGAGAACGTGACCGTCCAGTCAGGGAAGACCTCAGACGTGACTTTTTGAGGGACGACGACCGCAGAGTAGACCGAGATCGTGAAAGAAGAGACCGAGACAGAGATCGTACCAGGGATAGAGATTACGACAGACGAGAGAGGGAGAGGAAATACAAGGATCGCAGTCCGGTGAGGGACCGAAGTCCCAGACGTGACCGCAGTCCGCAGCGCTCTCAACACAGGCACAGAGAGGCGGAGAAACATCGGCATAAAGCTGACCGTTATCATTGAAGTGTCTTTCAAACTGTATTACGTTGATATAAAGTCCTGTAGGAAGGTGGCTTACCTCAGATAGTTTATTTAATTTTGTATATAAATGTACTGAATTTTATGTTCGGTTGAATTTCTAGTTTTATTTTCATAACTACCACTTTTCTTATTTGTAACTGACATTTGACACAATAAAAATAATTTGATAAAAATCTGCATTTTGAATTTCAAAAGTTCTGTGCTATTGGAAAATCTTTGGCACACAATGGATGTGGGTGAGATATAACCTAGAAAGTGAGGTGTGTTAACTGTCATTCTTACTCGATGCCTAATGGAAAAGTGACCTACTAATCTGTAGGTATTATGAAGCTATGTATTAGCTATTAATTTAGTTCGAGATATATTCAGTGGCGATTCCTTAGAGGAGGCTGGGGAGGCTAGCCTCCTCTGCAGTTTTTGATAGTATTGCAAAAGTTTTCTTTTAGTTTTTATTTTACATCATAATTAATATTATTTAAGAAATTTTCATATGCAATTAATTAGGTACCTACTAAGGAAGATCTCGAGCACGTAAATATACGTTTTTTAAATGTTCACTATTTTTCGCGCCCTCCGAATTCGCATTATAGTCGCTGGCAGCTAACTTTATCAAGCCTCCATCCTTTATCAGTGTTCTATATGCGCGCGACCTTGAAATGATGCCACGATGTCTACATTCGAGCTTAACCAGTTGAGCACGGAGGCTTGTTGCCACCTTCCATCTCTTGTTAACAAGCGAATCTTTCAATATAGCCCTTGTCCTCTACCACCTTGGCGATCGCAGTTATATATTGCAATGTTGCATTTCATAATAAAAACATTGGTCGTCTGTGAGTACGCGAGTTTTTGTCTTTAACTGGATGTGAAGGTTTTCTTAAGAATTTTTGCGAGGCGATCATAATTAATTAGTAAAACAATTATTTACATTTTACTCTGGTACGTACTTACCTTTATTAAAATAAAATGAGTGAAAATTTGCTGCTTTCAACGAACAACAGTACTTATTTCGTTTAACAAATCAGAAGTTTCGTAAAGTATGTTCGTAAAACTGTAAAGATGTGTATGTAATTCGCCTTTTTGAATTTATTTATGTCTAACTGCTTATACTTCTACGGGCAATAAAACCGAGAGCTTTAAATTAAAAGAGTTTATTCAACCAGACCTACAAGTAAAACAAATAAGTTAATAATACCTTCAAGGACTGAGATCATTACTGACAGACTGGGAAAGACCAAGTTTAATTGAAAATTTTTATAACGTCAAAGTGTTGCAGCAAACTTGCGGGTACATTTTCAAAATGTACGGTACGGTCTATAGCGGTGCCTTGTCTACGAAGAGTATCGCTAAAGGCTTTTTCCTCCTTTTTTATCCAAGGACGACGATCGTCTTGGATTTGATATGGAGTGACATGAATATGAATTTTAATACCTAAAAAAAACATTTACAAAAATGTATAGAATGTAACACATATTTTATCTTAGTAACTTTCAGAGCCAGTGACGCAAGTAAAAACAAATTAGCTGTTATATAAACATAGTCGTAAATTCAATTTCAACAAAAAGTGTATTTCAATCATATTAATATTTCAAAGGAAAAGTAAAAAGACACCATACGACGAACTCTGTAGTTAGATTAAACCGACATTTTTGTCAATCTTTGGTCTTACATTGTCTGTATTTAAAAGATACCCTGTATGAAATTAAAATTTTCAACATATATAAAAAAAAGTCAATTTAATTTCACTTATTCTTGAAGTTGTAAAAATAAAATGGTTCTGTTTAGTTTCACAAAGAATAACTAACGTTTTTTTAAATAAACGCACTGTTTAACTTTTCGTTAAATTAGATTGTTTTGTGTGTCATGCAAGGAAACAAAAGACTAATACAATCCAGGAAGTGTGAAAGTACTATTTAAATAAAAAACGTGTCTGAAATAAACTAACTTAAAATACTTTGATCTGCTAGATATCACTTTAAAGATGACAGACGAAATATACAGCCACGAAATTCATTTTCATGTAGTGAGTCGTAATAAATACGTTGTCACCTTAAATTTGGCATGTTATTCTATAAACTTATTTAATTGGCGACGATCCAAAACAAGATTCAAAAGTTCCGAGAAATATGTTATGATAAATTAGTGTTCATTTACCTTAATGCCACAAAAATTGAGGATTGTTTGTTCAGACTAGATGCTTAAATCTGATTATACAGGGTATTTTGAAAAACGCTCTCATAAATTTCTACATATATCTTTCAGTTGACTTACAGTATGATAAATACGTTTGATCCGGATACACGCTCTTGGAACGCGAATGGTTACAAGTGCTATTTCTATATTTGTGTACAAAAAGAGAGACAACCTCAGCTTGCCATTTCTCGATTTGTCAGTTTCCAGTTTAGGCGTTTCCTTTCATATCATATGCGTGCAAGTGCAAAAACCTATTATTTTAAAAATGACCTAGTAGAGGAATTATTTTTCTATGTTCCTTCATTTCTGACAAGAAATTTTAAACAAGCAAATGAAACATATACCTAATCCTGTCAACGTTTCCAAGAGAGGTCGCGAAGTAATCCAGGTATTTTTTCCACCCGAGTGCCCGCCATCTAACCAGAACATATCCGTGACCTTTGAAATAACCCTCAAGAGACTGCTGTCATCTGATTTAAGCGTTTTGAAATAATGAAACTCGTACAAGAATTGATTTAACACGACGCATCCCTTACTAAACCCTATTAGAATGATGTTCGAATTTTCCAAATCGGTAGTTGGCTCTGTCAAGCTATCTTCACTGGATTCTCCATTGACCAGATCGTCTTTCACTGAAACCTGTAAAAGGTGTTTTAGACATGCCACCCTTATACCTTCTTTATTTATTGGTCGATCGAAAAATTTACAGTAATGTCTCAAATCATAGAGAATAGATTTTTAAGTGATTGTCCTCGTAAAAAAGAGTAAAATAAACTGAAAATATCTAGAAGTGGTTCACTTACGTCATCATCCTGTACAATTGCTCTTTTTGAAACTTCCATAGCGGCTTGAAAATCGCATTCAGTCATAGAATTTAACTTTTCAGATAAGTTGCATATTAATTTTTCCAGATGTATCAACCCGTTGTGCATGGGAGTGTGTTCCGGTGCTCCGCAATTAATACACGGGACGAAATTTTCATAACAGCTAAACGTTTTATACTCCAGCCTAAGGAAAATTAATAAAAACAATGTATTTTGCTTGAAACTTTGTTGTTATAAATAAGATTTTGCTATTTAAAAGTTTAATTTAATATTTTTGATCTGACATCCATTAAAATATTTTATTGTGTGCAAATTAAAATAAAAATAAAATAAAGAAGTTTTAGCAAAACTTAAATATTTTTATTTTTTGAGGAATATATATTTTAAAAAAAGGAGAAAACAAATATGATAAAATTGTACTTTCAAAGTCTAACATATACATTATTACCTTGAGGGTCGTACAACCATTATGTGATTCTCCTTAAATTTTGATTGCAAAAGTTGAGCGGTATTTTCCAAATTCCATTTTATATAATTTTTGTTATCGCGATGACTTTGCATGTTCTCAGTAAAATCCTTGAAAAGAAAAGCTATTAGCTGCACAAAATAAGGAAATAGAAAGTTTGGATTTTTTAAAATATTTATTTTGAATACAAATATTTCACCTAATTCCATTCAAAGATAAATTAATGAGAATTTTTTAAAAAAGCATCTTAGTCTTAAAACCTCGAATGCAAAAATTAAACAAATATCTTAAAAACAAAAAAAACCTGACAAATTTGAAAACAGTATAAAAAAGCCACTGGTTAAATCCGTCTTAAATCCTTAACTTATAAACTGAACTCCATAGTGTATGGGCTCCACATACTATCCTTTTAGTACGTATAGTTTTGACAGTTCGTACCGTTAAAACTGCGTAACGTATGGGACCCCTTAGGCGACAGCTCTTAAATTAAAAGATTTGTTATGGGCAATTAATGAGTTAACGTCTTGCTTGTTTTAAAGAACTGGACTGTAATAAAATTTTGATTTACACTCGGTACAAACACAGACGCGTTGATAGGCACTAAAATTGCTATTAATTTCTTTCCTCTCGCAAGAGTACTTAAAGTTTACACCTATAAAAAACGTAAACAGAAATGCAATTTTATGGAGCTTATATTAAATACGGTAGAGAATATAAAATCCTAAACCGAAAAATGTTTTACAATTTTTATTAGAAATATCGAACAAGATGGAAATTTAGGCTAGAAGAAACCCATAGTAATAAATTTCGTCCCTCATTCCATTACTTTGCCACTGCGCCTTGCCACCTCCAGTGTTCAAATGAATTCCGTTTACCTTGTAGGTATTTTTATTTATTTGACCTGACGGCTAGGTACCTGGATATCTCCTCCGAAGAAAATAACTAAACTGGAATGGTCGGTCCTTCGAATCGGTCCGCAATACACGATATCGTTAGTTCTTCCTTCGAACCCAGGAATGCCGCATAACCGAACGGGAAATGGGCGGGTACGCCCTCCCATCACTCCCAAGTGCTTCACATCTGAAAAACATTGATCTCCAGTAATAAAAAAATCAATTTCACTAATGTAAATGTACACTTGTAACTGAGAAAGCGACTATTAAAAAGTGGTATAAAAATACACGTGTAATCGTTTCAAACGCATTCCACTTCAAATCAATCGAGCGCTGCCTCAGATTAGAAAAATAAATCAAAAAGTTTGTTTTACACCATCAAATTAAAATATTTGAAATGATTGTTGAGCTGCTAAAAATAGACGTAGGCTTATACAAGGTAACTACATACGTTAGACCAAATAATTTGCTCTTAGTACTCAACTAAAACAACTAATAATGTTATACAATGATTATAAGGGTTTTGTTAAGTTTTCTTTTAATAATTTTGTGCTAATAAGAACGTTTTTGCTCAGCTCATGAACGTCATAAAATATGTAGAACACTGAAAAGGTACATAAATTTCGTTTTTATTTCCAAATAACTTATTGTTTCTCTTTAGAATTAAAAAACGTACATACTTTCATTTATTTTTAAATTCTTTATTTCCAAATTTTCGAGGCATTCAGTATTTATATTTAATTTTTTATTATGTAATATTCAAATAATTGATGCAAAAAAGACATGCCTGAATTATCAGTTTTGTGTGTTGTGTTGCTGTTATTCATTAATATTAAATGACAGGTATTTTCAACTAAAAATCCCTAAATCTTAGCGTCATCAATAACCATGATTCGTTTACAATTAACAATGACAAACCGTTGCGTCTACTCTCGAGATAATGCGATCGCTCCTTATATTCTTAACTCGTACGTTACGCTTGCTCTGTAATAGCCCAGATTCATTCAAACTCTGGGTTAATAGTGTGTTGATCCGGCATTATGCTTACTTTCTGTCTCGCGTTAGCAGCAGGGACATTTGGAAATATTTGTCAGATTCCAATGGATAAAAACTTCTCATATAATACGTTCATGTACCTATTTTTTATAAGTTATACCGTTCCCTACATTTTCTTAGATGCAGTTTAGGATTTCGAACTCGACTAGGTCTTGTAAACAACGCATGTTCTTTATTTTCATGAAATTTATAACATAAGTTCTATATATAAAATTTCACCGCACTAGGTATATATTTACGATGCCCTAAAAATACATTAAAACAAGGTTTCGTTGGTGGCGTGATTGCGCTCAAACGTATTCAAATTGGTTTCGGGACACGAGGAATTAAAAAATCACCAGATAAAACGAAAGCATTACTTTAAATTGTTTTCTGTGGAATACTATATGAATTAATCTATCATTCTTTTTCGGAAAACTTATAAAAACTGTTGTCTATTTAGCTGTCTAGCAAATAAATACGATTTTAATTTTCAAATTTATGAATCCGAGACGTGCTTGTATTTTTTAGGAAAAATCTTTATCAAAGGCGCAAGCTTGAAATGTTCATGATTATAATTTTCCTGTCACGCCACTGCTGTTGAGTAAAGATGTTTAAAAATCGGATGTATTTGGCCCAATTTTTGAAAAGTTATTATTAGCTTGTTTTAAACTATTTTCATATTCGGAATATTGACTCATTTGTATTTTGTAACAGTTCTAAATTTCTAAATTAAAAAAATGCTTTATATCTACTGCTCATCTGAGAGACTATATAGGCATGTACTCGAGGAAGTCATGGTCATTAGATCGATTCGTATCGCACATCCCTAATTCCAATAAGTTTCAGTGGGTTCATTAAAATTTCATTATATGGAATACTAGTCACGATTTTTTCTTGTAAGACTAAATAAAGCTACTGTCATGATGATCAGTATAACTTTCTCAACGGACGTGAGTTCATACCTTCTGTTTAGTAATGTACTTAAGAAATCTAATATAATTTTGAAAGAACATTTGCGATGTTGGAACTTCGTGCATATAACAATGATTAGAAATGAATTCGCACTAAAAATCTTTAATAGCTACTTTCTTTTGGGTACCGTTTTCTGATCTAAACGCATTATGATCCCAAAATCATGTTCGTACTTGTTTTTTTTGTGTCCGGATCATGTCAGATAAGATCAGGAACGGCACTCCCCTTTTCCTTATGAATCATATTTTTTCTGTGATTCGAACTTTTGATTACGATCACATATTTAATATAACCTTAAAATTATGGTTTCTTTTTTTCTCTAAGAATGCAGTTACTATTTTTATTTTAATTGTGCACATAAGAATAGGTATACCTAAATGATATTTAAAATCAAATCGAATGTCAACAGTAAACAAAATCCTGTTCTCTTCGAAATTGGATTCATGGATCTACTCGTGTTTATCTGATCCTGATTCAGTGATCACGATTCAAAGCTGAGAAGTGAGAACTGAGAACAAAAGAAAACGGCTAATGTTGGGCATCCGTTAATTGCCGTAAAATCTTTTACTAATTTGAGGAACTAGGTCTAGGTGTAGGTATGTTATAATATAAAGCAGAAGGACAAACAGAACACAAACAATAAGCGCTTTTATTAACCTACCTGAAACGTCTTCAATAGCGATTCTGATTAAATATTAATAACACAAGGAATTTTGTTATTAAATTCATCTACGAGTTTATTAAACTTATACGTATTTAAATAGTAGGTATTCATGCGTATTATTCGCACATAATCACAGACGCTTAATTTGGTCGCCAAAAATTGAGTAATAACCTAAAACCTTATAAGTATTCAAAAATTAACATTACTTTCGCACATTTCTCCACGCCGTTCGAAATATTTGAATTGCACTATGTTACACGAATCAGTTGTATAAAAAGTCTTCGTCTATTCCTCGGCACCTGTTGGACCATTCCACTAACCGAACTCTCGTGTCCTCCAAGCACTGCGTAAAATCCTCTCGAACCTCCTTCACCTTTTCCCGTATCTCTTCCCGCATCAAGTTGTAACACATCGCGACAAGTCCCAAACCGAAAGCGATGTATATAAAGTTAATCACTAATTTCGTTTGGTTGGCGTGATTCGAAGCGTCGATGCTCGAACCGGGCACTAGGTCTCCAAAACCCAACTTGCACAAACTAGTAACGCAGAAATAGATGCTATCCAAGAAGTTCCAATGCTCCCAAGCACCGAACATGATGGCACCTGTTAGAACGTAAGCTCCTATCACCCACAGGCAGGCCGTCGAAGGTACTATTATTCTTTTTCGGGGATCGTCTTCGTTTTCTGAGGAACACTCGTATATCCACCTGTAAACGCACCGGAAGCAACCAGCTAAGGCGTCTCCGACGTTCATGAAGTAAAGTATGTACAATGGGATTCCAAAGCCAGCGTATATTACCGTGGCTAACCTCCCTTGACCGGTTTTCGGCACCATGTTCCCGTAACCGATCATGGTTATGATGCTTAGGGAAAACATCAAGGCCGAGGGAAAGGTCCATTCATCCTGCGGATCATACCCATCTTTGAATATCTCTACCACTTTTTTTTGATAATCTTTGAGGACCTCGTCAATTGCGGGTGCGAAAGTTGTAATGTTATAACCGTTAACAATCAACGCCGTTTCATACAGCCGCATGGAATAATTAATACGAGTTTCGTTCATGACTCCCTCCTTGGTGTTCTGGCCCTTTTCTTCGATGTGCATGAAAGTCACGGCACCGATCAGTGTGTACCCGAAAACGAGAGCCCCGACACCGACTTGGGTGCACATAAAAGCGATCAGCTTCCTGCAGCATTCTTTGATCTTCTCCCTGGGGTCCACGTCGCTCGCCGAAGACGACCCCCGGCTGCGCGAGCTGCCGCGCAGGTAATATGTCTCCATAATCTGATACACTGACTGACCGATTCGAAGTGAAGTTTAACCGAGCATTTATTTTGGTGTGCCATGTGTTTGGCACCATGCCAGAAAGAATATTATTTTATTATGTTGGGCAGTGGCGGGAGTTTCCGGTTTAAGGAGAGGGATCAAATGTGGGTCACCGTCGTAGTGGTGCTATTTACGTGGGATTATTTAAAAATTCTTCAAAATAAATCTTATCAGCTACACTACACTTGTGCCGAGTGTCGGAAAATGAAAATTGTAAACACAACAATGAAGCTGAGTTGGATAACTAAAATCCAAAAATAGGGGATCCAACTAACATGGGTCAAATCTTTATTAAATCAATTTTAATAATAACGAAGGAATAGTCTTTACTTCTCATTTTTTAAATTTAAACAGTAATACTCGTGACAATCGCGGAAAAATTATTATTTTGAAAAAATCTATTCGTTAACATAATTGACAATATACGGTTTTGTCGGTTTTATACACTCCAATAAATTAAAGTTACTTTCGATTTCCGGAAGATAATTTGAAGGTAGAGTACACAAAAATGCCACTTTGTATGAGAAAACATTATTTAAAAAAATGTATTTTTCTCATTGCAATTTAAAATCTAGAGAAAAAGATATACTATTTTCTTTATAAATGATTTTGTAGCCTCATTTTAAAAAACTAGCAAATAGTGTACACACTTGCGTGGTAGAAATCTGAATACAGAGCAATATAGGGTGTCTGCGATTCGACAACTAGATTTTTTTAAAAGTTACTACTATAATATTAGATCTGTAAACAACTATTTTCAGAAAATTAACTGTATTCTATTACTACTTTGTGTAATATTTGAATTTACGTACATTATGTTTTATATAATCAAAGAAATTCATAAATTTATTAATTGATCGCGATTCAAAATAATGAAAAAATCTAAAACTTTCTATTACAATTTCTTCGTGAATTTATTGTCTCAATCATAAATAAAATTATAAATTTATTTGACTGCTATAAGTGTTAGTGTATAGGTAGATAATAAAATATATTTCTTCTAATATAACTTACCAACTCTCCAAGAAAATAATAATTGAATATTTTTAAAATATCTTGTCGTTTTTAATAATTGTATTATATAAATATCACTATTTTACGATTTAATCATTTATAACCAAACCAAATAACTATATTATTGAATTTCTTTTGACAACACCAGAAAGCGATGTCAAGAGCGCAGACGCAGACTGAGGACATATTAACTACTTCTTATTGGTGCTAATGTCATAATATCTATACGCTGTTTATATCCACCATCGGAGTGTACATTTAACCTACCTTATTGTTGCTTATCTAACCTTACTTTAGGTTGCACGTCAGGAGCCAGGACAGATGTGCATGTGCTTTCGGCGAAAAATTTGTGATTTATAATTAATTTTTAGTATTAGTTTATTGTAGAATTATTAAAGTAAGAATATACGTCGTTACAGGTTTGATAAAATTATGATTTGTCTCCAAATAAATTGAGCACGGTAGAATTTCAATGTTGTATAAAGTTTACATCATCCAAACTTGGGACTGATTGAATTTTTTATGTTAATTAATTTAAAGGAGTTATAAATATTTATTTTTATCTTTATTTATGTATTAGTGCTACAACATTGAAATAAAAATTAATTTGAATTACTTTGTCAAAAGAATTGTCTGTTCATTAATTTTAATTTTTAAGGCATTCTAAAAACATGTCCCATTTAAGCGAAAAGATCTTGAAGTATTTGTCAGAGAATGACACTGTTAACACTCTTACTCTAGCAAAACTGTTTAACGAAGATCATCAGAAAATAATAGGGGCTTTAAAAAGTATACAAGCTAATGGAGATCTTGTTACAGCCGACCAAAAGGCAGAAAAAGCAATTGAAGTTACTGATGAAGGAAAGCACATTTCTGAAAATGGTAAATCTAATCTAATTAGGCTTCCACATTGTTAGAAAGTAATAAGTTTTTCTGATAAATGTCATAATTATTATAATGAAACTTAATTTATTAGCATTATCATATTTATTGACAGACATACTGAATTAGGTCAGTTCTTTTGATCATATAGACCATTTATACTTACCGTTACTTCAACATTATACTTACACTGTTACTAATACTGCCAGTATTTTCGTCTTGAGGTGGTTTTTAGAATATTCAACTTTGTAAACTTTCTAGGAAGCCACGAGGCTACCATTTATAAAGCCGTTCCTGATAGTGGAATAGCACAGGCAGATTTAATGAAACTACCTAATGCCAAGGTAGGTTTCAGTAAAGCTATGTCAGCTGGATGGATAACGTTAGACAAAACATGTACCCCACCACTCGTTCGACGAAAAGTGCCTGAAATTACAGATATCGTTCAAGACCACCTGAAACAAGTAATCCTTGGTGACTCTTCCAAGATATCAGATAAAGAAAAACAGGATTACAAAAAACGAAAACTCATTCAGGAAGTCGTCATTAAGAGTTTCGATTTAAAAAAGGGTCCTGAATTTAGCTTGAGCCTTACTAAGCTAGAAACAGATTTAACGACTGAAATGCTGAATTCGGGGAGTTGGAAAAACCTTAAATTTAAAGAATACAACTTCGACGCCTTGGGTGTTCCACCGGAATGCGGATATTTACATCCTCTATTAAAGGTCAGGTCAGAGTTTCGTCAAATTTTCTTAGAAATGGGTTTCTGCGAGATGCCTACGAATAATTATATAGAGAACTCCTTCTGGAACTTCGATGCCCTCTTTCAACCTCAGCAGCATCCTGCTCGCGATGCACACGACACATTCTTCATTTCCGATCCGAAAACTAGCAACAAGTTCCCAATGGATTACTTGGAGCGAGTTAAAAGGGTCCACAGTAAAGGCGGATACGGTTCTCAAGGGTAAGCATATTGCAGAAGACTAAGTTGCCAACATTTCAGTTAAAAGTTACATTTTAAAGACTTCTATGCTGATTTGGTCCAACTTTGTAAATACATTTTACAACTACTTAAAGATTCATACAGGTTCAAATGGTTTTTCTATTTTAGTTATGGATACGATTGGAAAATCGAAGAGGCTCAGAAAAATTTACTAAGGACTCACACAACTGCCGTAAGTGCAAGAATGTTGTATAAAGTAGCTCAGCAGAAGGAGTTTAGACCAATAAAGTTGTTCAGTATTGATAAGGTTTTCCGAAACGAAACTTTAGACGCCACGCACTTGGCCGAATTCCACCAAGTTGAAGGGGTCATAGCAGATTTCAACTTAAACTTGGGCGACTTGATTGGAGTATTCGCAGAGTTTTTCAGGAAGTTAGGTAAGAACTGTACATAATTTTAAACAAAATGCGTATTCCAGTTTAGCATTTTAAACAATTTTTTTTACATAAATAATTTAAAAAAAAATGGCAGAAATTTCACTCGAAGCAATAGTAGGGACGTCGTACAATAATTCACTCTGCGATTTAAGGTATTACACAACTGGATTTCAAACCAGCTTACAACCCATACACCGAACCCAGCATGGAAATCTTCTGTTTCCATCCAGGATTAAAAAAATGGATAGAGATTGGTAACTCGGGCATATTCCGTCCAGAAATGTTACTGCCTATGGGACTGCCCGAGGATGTATGCGTAATCGCCTGGGGATTGTCCCTTGAAAGGCCAACCATGATCAAGTACGGATTTAACAACATAAGGGATCTCGTCGGCCCTAAGGTCGACTTGGAAATGGTCCAGAAAAGCCCCATTTGTAGATTGAGCAAGTGAATTAAAGATTTGACTAAATAATTGAAAATTAAAGATCGAGTATTAATAAATAATAATTTTTATTTATAAATATTTTCAGTCAATAAAAATATACCAATTTGTTTTGCCTTACTTACTTTCCCAAAAACTCAATATTATAACTTTAATTTTTGTTTTGTTAATAATTTGACACAAATTTTTTCAGTTAGGCGATTTTTTTTTTTAATTTGGAACACTATTACTGGCAACAAACTGTCTACAAAAATTTTTTATGAAATTTCTGAAAATTTAGATTACCTTTTTTTTGGATTGAAATTTAATTTTTCTTTTGGGTGCCATATCAAATGTTCATATTTATTAATACAACACATTTTTCTCCGTTAAAATACCAAATTATCCATTTTTAACAGAGCATGCTTTGAAAACGAAACATTCAACCTACTAGTCCAAATGAAATTTTGACAGTTCAGTTAAGTTTGCATCGACAACTTCAAGGTGAAACTATTAAAAATGCAATTTTCATATGAAACGAAGTCTGATATTCTTCAAATCTATTAACTAAAAAGTTTGAGGTATATCTCGCTCTTTTTCATGTGAAAATAGCATTTTATAGTTATGTAAGCTTTGACATTACAAATGTCAAAATTTTGTGTGGTTATAGTCAGATGTTTTGTTTTTAAAGCATTCTTTGCAAAAATGGATAATTTGGTATTTGATTAAAACAAAAAGGTAACCTCTATAAATATCAAAATCCAATATGTCGCCCATAATAAAAACAAAAGTCAAATGTCGCGCTGGTAGGTGCCAAGGCTGACATGACTACATATTTCCATCTGTAGGTGTCTCGACAACATCTGAGTTTAAAAAGTCCAGCTCTTTCCAATTTTGAATAAAAAAATTAATCAAATAAAAATGTTCAGTTTTTAGTCAGTAAAGGCAAAAGAAAAATCTTCTTCAGCATGTTATTCATCATCAAATTCCACGACTGTGTCCTAACTCGACTGATTTTGTATCTTTTAAGATAATCGAACCCACGACGATGCAACTCCAAAAAACGCGCACTTGGTACAGAGGTCAATATATTTTCTTTTACTTTTAAATTAGTTTTTAAAATGGTTTGGTGTTGAGGTGTCAGAAAAGAAAATTTGAAATACACTATCCAGAAATCAATATAAAAAAAAACATTTATTTACCTTGTAATATTTACTTGTATAAAAAATATTAAAAATGTAATAACGAAAGTTGAAAAAAATAACAGTTTCATAATCTAAAACCAACCAAAAATGTATCAAACATATTGTTTTATTTATACACAAGTAAAATTTTTAAAATGATTTAATTACATTAGCCAATAAACGTATCATAATTTCACTTAATTTAAAATCAAAACGGAAGAGGGGCCTATCAAAATCTCTTTTAATATTTTGTACAAACTAAATTGATTTTGTTACTTCGATGTTGATAGCCGCTCCAACAAGGAAACAAACACCTTAAACCTAAAATATTTACAGTAACTTCTCCCACTAAATTAAGGGAATTTATTAATTACGAAACAAAAATCACAATATTTTTCATCGGCGTGGCCAACACGTCTTTGAAGGTTAATTGTTTAAATGTATGGGACTGCATTAATTACTATTTAAAATTTTCCAATCTAAATGCATACACAGAAGTAATTAAGCTTCGGTTCCCAAAATACCCAGAAGTGTACAGGGCGTTAGGAAATAATTGTGGTTAAAAAATTATAACAAATAATTTTGGGAGTTACAAAAAAAATTCTGTAAATAAACAATTCACTATTCTTTGCCGTTTTGGAAAATTTTTAAAAAAATATCCTCATAATTCTTGGTTTTTTAAATGAAGACGTTCGGGTACTTAATTATAGAACACTCTATATAATTCAGATTCTTCGCGAAACGTTTTATCTCTTTGCGACGGTTTTTTTAAACACAAATCTACTAGTATCCTTAACGAGATCTGGAACGTATACAGGGTACTTGGAAACTATGAGCGAAAAATATAGAGAGCGATTCCGTTTTTTCAGGTTTCCAATAAAAATTGTTCCTATGACACAAGTTTCGAATAATCAGTATTAACGGAGATATCTACAGAGTGGGAAGAAAGATCTAGGTGTCGCTAAAAGACGAAACGTTGCGTCGACAATCCGATTATAACCGAATAGACGAGTGAAAATCTGAATTATTTATATGGAGGTTTACAGATTGGATCACTTTAAATAGTAAACACGTTATTCGAATCAGTAATTAATAAACTGCTAATAGTGTTTTTTAAAACGATATTTTGAACCCGACGTTACAGTTAAGTCGCCAAGTTGTAATCAAGAATAACCAAAAATGTCTAATCGTAAAGATTTATTTCTTAAAAAGGTATTTTAAAGTAGAAAATAGAAGTTTGATATTTATACTTGTTTTTTTTATTAAATATAGATATATTCCTAATTAATATAATTAATTCAAGATTTTCATGGCTATCGAAAACTAAAATACAGTCTTTGATTCATTTCCTCAAATTATTGTATAAATCAGTTAAAAACACTTAAAACGATACGTTTCGTAACAGATACGTTCAAATATATAATATTTTTTTATACTATTGTCCGATGCGTGTCAGAATTACGTATGGGTGACCCGGAACCGATCGTTGGTCGTGCAACGGTGATCTTTATAACATGATGTAATTAAATTGGTATGTTTGTCGTCCTAAGGGCTGTAATGCCAAAGAAATTATTTTTCTCGATTTCACACATTGTTCTCGTTTTTTCCAAAAACGTTTATTAAAAAAGTTTTTCGATATCACTTCCCGTTTAAAAGATAAGTAATGATAACGCATAGGCAAAAACAATCAAGTCTGTTATTGATTTTATTAGAGTTATCCCTGGAAAAGAAGGCGTTTTAAATGTTTATGTTCTTTATTGGCATAAATCGTTTGTCTTTCTTCTTTCTACTTTTTCATGGACTGCTCATTTTTTTTGTAAATAAATGTAACTATTTTCACAAAAACAATTGAAATATGTCGCCGATGAGTATAAACATTTTAAGAATGTTGTTTCCCATAGCAACGCAGTAACAGACTTGATCAAACCAGTGTTTATTCTCCACACATATCATTTAATATCGTTTGAACGGGAAGAGATACCAAAAAACTTTTTTAATGAAATATGCCTGGAAAAAATATGTCGCAGATATACGTGATATTGGGAAAAATAATTTCAATGACGTCACAGCCATTAAGGTGGCAAACTTACCAATATGGAATTTTAAATCAAATACTTATTCCACCACGCAATAAAATTGTTGCTGTTCCCCATCTGCAATTTATATTTTCCTGTAAAGACGGTCAACTATCCGTTCCGGCCATCGAAATTGTGGTTTATACAGGGTGATTTGAAATTTAGCTTTTAACTTTTTATTTACATTTTTAATTTGTTTTTGAAAATAGATGACGGGCAATAAAACAATTTAATCACAGCCTTCTCAATGGGTTAGAATTTCAGTTTTTCAGGTTGTCAACATGTGAAGTATTTACATGAGGGCTAGTATTCGGATATAAGTACATTTTTAATTTCAAGAACTTATTTTAACTAACGAAAGTTTCTTAAGCTAATTATAAAAATAAACTATCTGATTTCCATACTAAATGTTAATAAAACGTCATATCTACTTAAAACGAAACCTTTGATTGCACTGGAGCCATTTCTGTAACTGTTCGTATAGAATTTCTATCGTCGTGAGCTGTTCACAGGATGTCTCGATTGTGTGAATGGAAAAACAGTCCGTGAGGATCTTCTTCACGTGGTTGTTTATCTCTTTTATGCTACGTATGCACTTTTGTAACACTTTTGGGTAAAGAGGTTTGTTGTCCATAAGCTTTATGTGGATTGTTAAGTTACCGGCCGGTAACCGTCTAGTTTCCGATATCTTGTGGAAGTAGTAGTTCAATATGAGTTCAAGTTCTATGTTAAACATGTTATTTCTTACTGTTATGTTGGTTTCGCCGCCCTGGAATTAATCACATTTCCGTGTCAATAGATTATTCGTCTCAATAAAAAATATTGTAAATAATGTAACCGTTTAAAGAAATATATTGTATTTTTTATTATAATTCTACGGTTGCCCTTTATATTTCAGGGATAGAGAACAGAAAAGAAATTAATCATCGTAAATGGCTTTATTGTATTTATTTATCAATCTTCAAAGCACTTTTCCAATTTTCCAAGTTCGTGGAGAAAAAAAAAAAGAAAATTTGCAAAGTTTTTTTGTCACGCTATTTCTTAGAATTGCATGATAACCGTAGCTCGTAAAAAATTTCGACCGAAAGATCTAAAAACTAGAATCTTAGAGCTTCAAAATGTTTTTTTTTTAATTCCCGATAGGACAATTTTTTACCTAAATACAGTCAAAAATCACGGAAAAAATTCGGAAATTCTTTTGATCCTTCAATTTTTTGCATTAGTTTATTATTAAATTCCGTATATCATAGATACACAGTGGTTTTTGATGGTGCTTCATCATCAAAAGTCGAATTAAGTTCATTGATGCACTGTTATTGGGATAATCCATGTCAAAAGTTATAAAAAAATAATCTCAATGTTCACGACTTAATTTCATTTTTTAGCCGATGTGAATTTTTCAAGTCACTATAAGCAAACAAATAGCGCCTATACGTCAAAACGAATCGAGTAAGTACATCTACAAAAAGCCGACCAATCCCGAAATATAAAAGACAACTCTCGTATTATCGTCCTTTGCTAATAGGTACTTCTGTCTTTTCGACAAAGATATTAGTATATGCTTACCACAAACTTCGTGTAGATTTGAAGTTCACAACAAAATTCGTACAACCTAAACTGATTTTCTGGAGAAAGCTGTTCCGCTATTATTACGGTGAAAGATCTCAATACATTCTTATCCATCACTTTATAATAAACGTCGATATCGGGATGGAAACATTTCAGTAAATCAGTACGCTGTTCGTCGATTATCGCTATGAGCATCGGATTGAAATATGCTTCTGCGTCTAAAAAATAAAGGCAAAGTCCCTGATCAAAATTTAAAAAATTACCGAAATGAGCAAAATTAAGATGGACGGGATGGCGATGAAGTTTCGTCACGGTCACAAAAAGGACCACGGAATTGCTTCCAAAGAACGAAGTATTCTTATCTCAAAAGTTACTTTTTAAGGATGATTGCAGATTTGTAAATCTCACTCTGTAACAATGGCAAAAACTACTACTACTCTTGCTGCCTACCCCCAAAATGTAAAACAAATATTATTTATATTTCTACTTTCATTCTAATCGATTTTGCCTAGGGTTATACTCCTATTCTAATAAAAATAAAATAATAACGTTTTTCCAACTTGTACGCTTTTGACATGCACTGACATTCTTCTGCTGGAAACTGTCGGTACTTTAAGGAGTCAAACCATTTGGTCCTAACAGGTACATGATAAGCAAAGATTGAACTACATGCTAATGACAATAAGCCTTGCAGGGATGAAGATATTGGAATACTATGCGAAATGAACTACACATTACAATTTCCATACAGGGAATACACAAAATCATTTTAGACCAGGCCTAGATCTGGGCGAGGTCCGAAACACTTTCAAAATTGCAAAAATGGTAATAAAAATTTAAAAAATACCTTTTATCTGAGTTTTTTACTTATATGTTGGAACCTATGCATTTTGGAAGAATATTAAAGAGGAAAAAAGTTTTAGAATTGAATTTTGCACAATATTCTGTAAGTTAAAAATTTTTAAATTTATTACCGATGTTGCAAAATAGCAATAATAATTGATCAAAAAAAAAGGCAAAATAATTAAGTTTCTTGGATATTTTTTTTTATATTTTAATTTATCCGAGGACATTAAAATCAGTTCTATAGTTTTCGCAAAATAATTTTTAAAAAAATTTTTCCAATTTTGAAAATGTTGTCCAGCCTCAAATAAAGCATCTAGATACTTGAAAATTTCTTCACATAGAAAAGACCGATCAACCTTTCAAATGGTTTTTGAAAAATTGAAATCGGTTGATTAGGACGGCCACAGTAAATTTTTAAAGTTAGCACTTTTTTTTTATTTTTAACAATTGGATTACATTTATCAATTTGCAATTTAGTTTTTTTAAAAAATTATAATTTGAGGCTGCACAACATTTTGAATATTAAAAAAATTTTTTTTCAAAATTATTTTACGAAAACTATCGAACTGATTTTAATGAAATTTGGTGTGTTGTTTAATTATACTCGTAAAGTTTTTTTTTGTTACCAAAATTAGAATGCCCTCGGAGCAAAATATTTTAAAAAAATTATCCAAAAAAACTTGATTATTTTGCCTTTTTTCCATCAATTATTGCTATTTTGCAACATTGGTAATAAATTTAAACATTTTTAACTTGCAGTGTATTGTGCAAAATTCAATTTTAAAACTTTTTTCCTTTTCAATATTCTTCCAAAATGCATAGGTTCCAAGATATAAGCAAAAAACTCAGATAAAAGGTATTTTTTAAAATTTAACCATTTTTGCAATTTTTAAATTGTTTCGGACCTCGCCCAGATCTAGGGATCTACACTTTTATTATGTTAGTTGTACTGAAGGTAATCCAGAAAAAATTGCTTGCCCCCTCTCACATCAACCTCAAAACAAATCCGCCCTGGTCTATTTTATTTATTGAACTTGACTGCCTCCTTTCTGGCACAGGCGTATAAAAATTTTTAAAAAAAAGCTGAAATATTTTTTCTTTATTTTTAGATCCCTATATTATTCTTTTTGGTAAAAGCCAATAGTTTTATTTAGGTTGACTAAAATAAAAATACACATTTATTCTTACCGAATCCAAAAATTCCACCGCGCTTAAATATTCTTCTGTATATATCCAATACGCCAATATTATAGTAACGGTATCCATATTTAAAGAAGTCTTTCAACACAGCATTTCTACTTTCAAGGTCCACCAGAACGTTCTTAAAGTAAGGCCAATTTTCGGGCGGTTCAAGTAGTTTAAGATCTAAAGAAATGTTAAACCCATAAATGTATGACCCTTACCTGTTAACTTAAATAGTACACTTTCAAACATTAAAAATTTCTAATTAAGACATGTTAGGATCCAATTCTTATAATCTTTTACCATTTAATGTTGAAAAGTACATGCAACACTAGTCACGCTTTTATAGGACCTACAGATTAGTAGGTAGTCATTTGTCAGTAGGTGCAGGTTATATCTCACCCACACACAAAGGACGAACCTTACATTATGTGGAAAATGTCGATTTGAAGCGTTATGGACTGAAGATGGTGATATGTGACACTTTTAACAGTTCAAATTCAATATTTGTTTATCAAAATTGGACATAAATTCAATATAAATTTAAAAAAGTGTGTTTCATTAGTAAAATGATGTTAGATAACATTAACAAGAAATGGGATAATTGGAATCAATTTTAAAACATGCAGAAATGCATTTGGGATTAGGTTTAACATATTTTCCTTCTTCAGTAGCACATGGGACGTTTGAGGTGTCAAAATGTTCGTCTGGTCAAGAACTTTCGAAAAAGTTCTGGCCTTTTCAAAAATCCAATATGGCGCCGCAAAGCCACATTTTCATGACACATTCAACAAAAACGATAGTGAAAATGTTCTAATGTGCAAAATATACCTCCAAAGAGCATGTAAAACTAATTCTGCAACTTTTTATTGAGAATGCTGAAGGAATTCCAAATTCAAAAATAACGGATTCAAAATGGCGGACATTATACCACCACCAAGCCCGTTGTACCTCAACAAATGATTTTAGATCAGTTTAAAGTATCGGTATGGGGGTTTTCGGGGCCACTGAATCTTATTTTAACCTCGAAATTTCTAAATTCAAAATGGCGGTTCCGATATGGCGGACATTACCAGCACTTAACTCATTTTACTGCAACAAATGATTTAAGATCAGATTAAAGTATAGATATGGGGGTTTTCGGGGCCGCTGAATCTTATTAATCTCGAAATTTCTAAATTCAAAATGGCCGATACAAAATGGCAGACATTACCCCCCCCCCCCTAACTCATTTTACTGCAACAAATGATTTAAGATCAGTTTAACGTAGCGATATGGGAGTTTTTGAGGTCTTTGAATCTTATTTTAACATCGAGAATCTAAAATTTAAAATGACGGATCCAATATGGTGGACATTATCTCCCACCTAACCCATTTTCGATATTTTGAACCAGACAGGCAATTCAAAATTTAATGAACAGGGGAAAAGCGATCTGTGTAAGCTTAATACCCATTTACACAGTTGGTGAGCAAGTCCATCAGCTGCTTTCTTTATTAGTGACTTTTTCTCCAACAGTCCTTTTTAGGATAGTTGGCGAGTATAATGTCCGCCATTTTGGATCCGCCATTTTGAATTTTGAAATTTCGAGGTTAGAATAAGATTCGGTGACCCCAAAAATCCCCATATCGATACTTTAAACTGATCTAAAATTATTTGTTGCGGAAAAATAGGTTTGGTGGTGGTATAATGTCCGCCATTTTGGATCCACCATTTTGAATTTTGAAATTTCGAGGTTAAAATAAGATTCAGCGGCTCCGAAAGCCCCCATATTGATACTTTAAACTGATCTAAAATCATTTGTCGCGATACAATGGGTTTGGTGATGGTATAATGTCCGTCATTTTGGATTCACCATTTTTGAATTTAGAATTCCTTCAGCATTCTCAATAAAAAGTTGTAGAATGAGTTTTACATGCTTTTTGGGTATATTTCACAAGTTAGAACATTTTCACTATCGTCTTTGTCGAATGTGCCATAAAAATGTGACTTTCAGGCGCCATATTTTATGCGCCATTTTGGATTTTTGAAAAGGCCAGAACTTTTTCGAAAGATATTGAAATATGTATTTTGAGGGTCAAGGATTTTGATATACAAAGTCAGATAACGATTTATTTTCCTTTAGAAAATCTGTCAGTTTTACAGAATTTTAGCGTGCGTTGTGCAAAGATCTAAAGTGGCGCCATCTGTAGTTCAAGCCATCACTTAAATACTCAAAATTATTCTGTTTTTTAGCATAAACCTATTTCTGCCTCAGATGACTCAGACGTTAATAATCTGTTGATCCGATAAGCTTTACACCGATTTTACCAATTGACGCAGCGCCATCTAGTGTGTCGGATGTTCACTCATTACTAATTTTCAAGTCTAATCTTTGGTCTATTTTTGTCGTAAAGTGTTATATTTACTAGGAAAACGCACTTACTGGGACACTGCAATATCTCGTAGGTGAAATTGTAGTTCCTCGCCTTGGAGAATATCTTCGCCAAGAAGATGTATCGCCCCATGTGGGTGACCCTTCTCTTTGAAAAGATCTGAAACAACTTTTTTTCGATTATTAGGAAGAGGAAACGGAGCTGCCGAGGAGACTTGACGTCGCTCGAACAACTTACTTTAGATGAAACCAAACTATCCCAGTCGCAGAACGATTCCAGCAGGTACCTCCCGTGATTCCACAGTCCCTTTTTTTCTATTTCGAACAGGCAGTTCATCACTATCACCTCCATTATACCCTTAATTTCTTTGTCCTTTGTGTAATCAGGATCTATAGACTCTTAAAAATGAAATAAAAGATAGAATTTTATAAAAAAGGTGACTTAGCAGGTTATTTATTTTGAGGACAGTCCGCGTTCATTAATTCCATAAAGTTTTATAGTTAGTTAGAATGGCTCGGCTAGCAACTAGGTGTGATGCAAAGGTGTAACAGTGGCAACATTTACTGCTCAAGCATAGTAACGTAATAATTATATACGATGTAGTACACAAAAATGCAAGTGCTGTGGTATGGAAGTATGTGAGGATACATGAAGATATGGGATATTTTTGACATATGTTCTACGTCGATTCAGTATACATGACAACGAGCAAAATATATTGAAAGACCGAAACAAAATATGGCGTGATATAGTTGGTACTTACCAAACGACTGCATAAAACTAATAAGTGTGTCGTGTATACTACTGGTAGATAATTTGAGGTTAGCTATTGTCATCGTAATGAAATTCTGCAGAGTCGGCGGGCTCTTATAATACTGAAGTAGTTCGTAAAATTCGGTACCATTTTTAGACTTGATCACAGAATTGAGTTTGGCGACGTCTCTCTCGTTGATGTTGACATGTTCGAAACTGTCCGGTAACAGGTTATGAACCGACTTGTTAAAATTAAAGTCGCTTCTGTAACACGGGCTTCCAAAAATTGGCCTGGACGGTTTCAAGCTGATTTCGGCTTCTTGAGGTTCACCCCTGAAAGCGACGTAAAATATATGAAGAAGTACAAGACTTCTGTTTGATATTCTGCCCGCATTCTGGCTTTGGAACAAAAATTTTGTAAAAATAGTTTATCTATCATTTATTTCAAATAATTCTTCAAATTCATTTGGGCACTAACGTGCTTTTAAGTGAAAATATACTGAAAGTTGCAATTATCTAAAATATTATACCCGCTAATAAAATTTTCAAAGATGTTTCATTCGTAACCGTGCTTTGACTTTACTAGCAGAGAGTGACCTACTAATCTGTAGGCAGTGCCGTAACTTGAAGAAATTTTACTATAGGCAAGCTTTTAATTTTGCACCTCTATTTAATTGTTAAATTAATTGTGTAACAAAAAATACGAAAAAACTCAAAAACAAACATTTGATTTTTAAAAACGTAACAAATATATAAAAATAAAACATGATAAATAGTTTGACTTAAATTATCAAATGGAAATAAAAAACAACACAGACAACTGAAGAAACAAAAAAATATTAAGTACTTTAGTAATTTATTTGTGAAAAAAAATTAAAAGTAAATCTACTAATAATCTGGAATTAAAAAATAATAAGTTTATATACAGGGCGACTTAGAACTTATCCAAAAATTTTGAATATACAGGGGACATTTTATATTTAATTATTTCTTATTTAATTTAAAAAGAAAAATAAAAAGGGCATTTTGAAAATGATTTAAAAATACACTTCTACAAGGCACTGGAAGCCGGTCCACTGTAAAACCTGATCTTACGCAAAAAGCATGCAGGCGGCGACTGCCACTGCGGCAAAAAACGGACAAAAGGAAATAAATAAAATTTTATAACACCTATTTTACATTAGAAAATTCAACTGCTTTTGCCACTATTGCTATTAATTAATAAAATTAATTTGTGGTTTTAGCTAATAAAATAATTGGACATACCTGAAGTTATAACAACTGTTCAAAATTTCGTCCGACGTGTAAACACATTTGGGCCCGTCTTACCCAGCTACAAACTAACACAAATGTTGTCTTGCTTCACTATAAATTAAAACGATATACATCAACTCCCGAGTTGCTATACACGTAAATCATTTTTGGTACTTGAAGAACTAATGTAAAATCGCAAAAACGTAAATACTACATCAGATTTCAGTATTCGGAATCGCTTGGAGCCACGTGGAGTGAGAGCGCATTATGCACAGCGTACAACTCGAATGACGCTAGAGACTACAGTAGTCCAGCGATGTAAAGCTTAAAAATACTACAACTTCAATTTATTTTCTCGGAAACTATAAGGATTTTAGGTTTTACAAAAATTCCCATGATGTTTTTGCAAAAATATTTTTTGTGTTCAACTCCTTTCCATGCGCCCCTAGCAGGTTGCGCCCATAGGCGTGTGCCTACTCTGCCTATACCTTGTTAGGGCGCAGCACTAGTTAAAAAGCTTATCTCACCTAGTACAACACTAGTCATGCTTACATAGTATCTACAGATTAGTAGGTCACTCTCTGCCAGTAGACACTGAACAGCATTAATTTTCAATGAAGTATTTATTATTTTTTATAAATTCTATTAGACTTCTTGTATGTCAGAAAAATGGATGAATCTGCTAATTGAAAAACTTACCTCCTGTTAGTTACCCTAACATTTTCCGGAATGTATTCACTAACTTCCGAGGGTGGTTCAAAACGAAGGGCAGTGTTAAGATCGACGTTATCCTGTTCAAAAGGGTTATTTGAAGTACTAGGCGCGGTCCGAGAGAACTCGTTCCTTAGATACCGGCTTTTTATCGTGGCAATCGGCAAAGCGTAATCTCTCGGCGCGAAAGGGCTTAGCCTTGGATTTGGCTGGAAATACCGTTCCTCTGAACCCGAACTCTGGCTGTGATTATCAGAAGAGGAAGTTCGTCGAGACTCGTAATTGGGATTTCTTACAGGATGGTTGGGTTCGAGGTCAATTCTCGCTCTCACAGTCGTCCCTTCGACTTCCCTCTCGTAGAGCTCTCTTTCTTTTATCAGTTTGTTGTCTATATGAGCGGCTAGCAATTCTTGAGGATTCGGGTTCGACAGGGCCTTTAGTTGGGCGTCGGGAATGGAAGGTTTCGTGATCGACTTAGCTGTTCCGTCTTGGAAATCAACTAAGGTTCGGACGGGTATCAGGACGTCTTCGCTGATCTTCGACAGGTCGGTCATATTGTTCTTCACGATCGTGTTGTAAATTTCGCGACACAGTTCCTTATTCACTGGATAAACGTTTACCATCCTCAAGAATATTCTAGAGACAATCGAGGGCTTGATTTTGCCCCTTGCCTTCAATATTCGTTTGATAACTGCCCAATTCTCGGATATATCATTTGTTCTGGTTATTAGATCCAGCAAAATGTCAGCTACAAAACAAATAAGTGCGTGCAACAAAGGTCAGGAGTACACAGCATAAAATTTAAATAAATACCTAGTATAGGATGCTCTAAGAATCCGATATTAAAAGAAATCATCTCGATAGCATCCTGGAAGGAGAGGCCGGATTCTCCTAAGGCTTTGACAACAGAATCTGTGGCTTCCGTGCAGTCGATGTCCTTCATTTGTAAAAAATATTTTATGCATGCAATCAGTTCATTCTGCATTTTGAGCTTTCCAAATGCAGCAACAAATGAAGGATATATTTCCCTGAATAATTTTTCTAAAAATAAATATTTCTTAGTTTCAGAAATTCCTACAAACGTTCTTTTACTACAATCAATACTACTGAATATAAACAAGCGAAAATTTGCACATGTAAGTAAAATTGCAAAAGTTATTCTTTGAACCAAAATAATAAAAATCGTTCATACAAAGTAGGTTTACAAAAGCTTAATTTTTACAATACAGAGTGATGAAGTTTTACTATTTTTTTAGTGACTCTAATTTACTTTAAACAGCAATTTTTGTAAAGCCTGCTCATTTTACACTTCTATTTTCATACACATACTTTTTTTAAGTGATAAAAATCAAATCAATACATATATTTTTTTTAGCACAATTCCGTCATGAATATACATACAGGGTTTTCAAAAAGTTTGGAACCCCCCCCTCTATCTCAGAAAATACTGCTCAAACAAAAAAATTATTACACAAAAGTTGCAGGGTTTTGAGTGAGCAATCCAACGTTGACCTTGATCATGACCTTGAAGGTCATTTAGAGGTCAAGTTGAAAATTTTAAAAGGAACCATATACTTTTGACCCAGGAAATTGTAAGAGCGGAAAATTTTATGTCCGAATGTGACCTTGACCAAGACCTTCAAGGTCATTTAGAGGTCAAGTTGAAAATTTTAAATGGAACCATATATTTTTGACCCTGGAAATGGAAAAAATGTAAATTTTTACGTTCGGACATGACCTTGACCATGCCTTCAAGGTCATTTAGAGGTTAGGAAGAAAATTTTAAATGGTACCGTATACTTTTGATCCCGGAAATGAAAGAGCCAAAAATTTTACGTTCGGATGTGATCTTGACGATGACCTTGAGGTCATGGTACTTTTAAGGTCACAGTATTTCCAACAGCCTGTCTCCGAAGGTAAAATGTACTCCGGGTTTTCGGGGTCACCCTTTCGATTACTGGAGGCAAATGTAAGAATTCCCGTTTTAAAAACCTTTCCGACCTTAAAATTATGTCGAAAGTTATCGCTATTTTTACATTCGGAACAAGGCCGAGGTCATAACAATATCACCATCTTTCGTAGGAGCATTATTAAACTTAAGTTCTTTGCTTACGTTTGACGTTATAGTTACCTTTATGTCATGGTCAAAGACTTGGTATAGGTCAATTTTCAATTTTCCGCTCACTCAATTAGCGCAGTCAAGAACATCGGGTCATTTATTAAAAATTGACTTGATCTGTAAACGACCTTGAAAGTCATAGTCAAGGTCATATCCGTAAAAATTTCCATTTTTTCCATTTCCGGGGTCAAAAATATATGGTTGCATTTAAAATTGTCAGGTTGACCTCTAAATGACCTTCAAGGTCATGGTCAAGGTCACCGTCGGATTGCTCACTCAAAACCCTCCAACTTTTGTCCTAATCATTTTTTTGTTTGAGCAGTATTTTCTGAGATAGAGGCGGTGTTCCAAACTTTTTGAAAACCCTGTATAAGTACGGATATATAAAATAAATATTTTTAACTTACCTGAACACATTGAAAATTGGAAATGTTTGAATATTTCGTTAGGGTCGACTCTCTGAATTTTATGAATAAATCTTTCTACGTTTACGATATGCGCTAAGGTACAATTTAGTTTCAAACAATTTGCGGAAAAATAATAATGGAAACACAAGCCACTGAACACATTCGGGATAGTTCGAAAGTTTACTCGAGGGTTACCTACAAAAACACTTAATAAATATAAACGATAAAAACGATAATTTTGTATTGCATTTGTCAATTCTGTACCTTTCGCTGAAACTGGAGGCATAAGTCCACCTTCATTAGAATTTAACGGTGATCTGGGCGATGTTTGGTTACTATTTAACATACTTTGAATGTTCTTCGGGGAGGTTTGAGGATTGGGGACATTTTGAACCCATTGTTTTACGCGATCTTCAATGTAACTAGGATTCTCGTTCGTTTCAAAATAATTCGGCTGATCCGAACACCCATAATTCATGTCTTCTAACTGGTCTAAATTTGCTATGTCGTCAACATTATCGACCCCGATAGAAGAACTAAAAATAATATATATGTCTATGTACAGGATGGGTCAATTCAGTGACTTGGGGTTCCCCTATTTCCCGAAAAAATTTAAAAAAAAGGTGTTTAGATGTCAAACGGTCGATTTTTGAAAATGATTAAAAACTTTTTTCTGTAAAATTTCCCTCATCCATTCTTACTGCGAATGCAACGTATATCGTAGAAAATTTCAGTATAAAGATTACAAGTTTAGTAGATACTTACGCCAATATCGATATAGTGTCATCCTTGTCCGGGCCAGTAACATGTTCATCTTGAAAACTTCCTGCCGAGCTGAAATCCTGAGGGACTACAAAAGTTGACGGTTTTCGGATAAAGTCGTCACCTTTATTTGAAAATTTAATTTGTAGATTTGTACTAGAACCCTCGGTGTTAGAAACAGTTCTTTTAGGTCTTGTAGGTGGTCTTTTTGGAGGCGGCAATGGTAATTTGAAGTTATTTTCCTCATTTTTAGGAAGAGAAATGAATTCTCTATAAACGAAATAATTGTAAGTATGATTCAGTCAAATCTAAAGGAATTTGTTATAAATATACTGTATAATAGACATTTTCAATGTTTTCTGCGTACAGGGTGTGAACGTATACAAATTTACCAGGTTAAGGTTACACTTTCATGGAATTACTATAAATTTGATATACAGGATGTTCCACCTAAGAGGGATTCTTCTATAACTCTGCAACTGTAAAATTTATAAAAAAATGGTTTTAATAAAAGTTGCCTTGAATCATCTGGGCCATGTAAAGAAAATATTTTTAGCTTTACAGGGTGTTCCATTTCGCGTGGGCGCTACATAACTTTATTTTAAATGGAACACCCAGAATATTATCACATTTTTGAATTCCTTGGTTAATATTAGGTATAGTTTATTAAATGTACATGGTGTTTAAAACTTAGCGTTTACGAGATATTCAGTTGTTTTTGAAAAAAATCACGATTTCAGCTCTCCAAATGAGACTAGATAGCGTCTAAACCACAAGAGTTAGAAACCTGCAGTTTTCACAGTTCGTTTTGGTATAAATTACTCACCCATGACAATTAATATAGGTAATTCCATTTGAAAAGAAAAGTTTTTCAATCCGTAAGATTATTAAATGTAGATCTCAGTATTTCCGAGTCTGAATAACGTACACGTTTTGCTCATAGATGACAAGATAGAGTAATTTATGCCAAAAAGAATTGTGAAAACTGGAGATTTCTAACTCTTACGGTTAAGACGCTATCTAGCTTCATTTAGAGAGCTGAAATTGTGATATTTTTCAAAAACAACTGATTATTTTGAAAACGGTAAATTTTAAACACCATGTATATTTAATAAACTCTATCTTATATTAAACAAAGAGTTCAAAAATGCAATAATATACAGGGTGTTCCATGTTATGTAGCGCCCACCGAAATGGAACACCTTGAAAAGCTAAAAATATTTTCTTTACATGGCACACATGATTCCAGGCAACTTTTATTAAAACCATTTTTTTTTATAAATTTTATAGTTGCAGAGTTACCTTCTTAGGTGGAGCACCCTATATTTATCTCAAATAATTTTTTTTTAACTCATTAATACTGTAGAATGTCAGTCTTACTGTTTTTGAGAACAGTCAACTTAACAGTTTTGAACACACTTTTTTTTTTATTTAAAATTGATTGCTAATAAGAAAAAGTCCTTAAAGTATTAAAGATCAGAAAAAATTTCAACCTAAATTGACCAATTCGTGACCAATAGGACTTGTCTACAGCTGCGTTTCAATATATCAAACACGTAATTAATTACTGATTGATGTTTTAATAAACAGTTTATTTAAATGTGTAAAAAGTTTAATCACTTCAATATTAACATAAAAATTACTGAAGTTTGTCTTATTTTACCACAAAAAAAAAGATGAGATATTCTCAAAAACATTTTGCTGAAATAATAGAAATAAAAAAAAAAATAAACCAAACGAGTACATAGTTTAAACATGAATTAAAATATGCAAAAACAATCTCTACTGCACCTTTGACAATTTGCTCGAGGTTCCTCGCAAGTAATTTTATCCTTATTACAAATAACTATCAATGAGCCAAATTGTGGTTGCGGTAAATTATTTCTGACCTGAGACTCCTCATCACTGTCTTCACTTTTAACATCTACGTAACCTATGTCGTTCAGAAATACCCGAGAGATCGGATGTTCCGGTTTAAACTGTAAATCCCACTTTTTTTTCTTCTTCCTACACTCAAACATTTTTAATTTTGCAGTGGAATTGTTCCTTTTCAGATCGTTAGTTTGATATTGTTTGGGAGAACTGCTGATAAATTTCGGCAGAGTTATACGTGCGTTGCCGATCTGGCAAGTTTCTACAGAGCCCGTTTGGATTTCGAAATTGCTGCTGTCTTGAGATTCATCCCCGCTACTATCTAGCAGTCTGTCCTCTTCTTCTTGGGTTATGCTGCACACACTTGAAGTTTCCTCATTTCTGTTTCCTAATACATATTTTTGGTTGAAAAATATACATGTTCCACCTAAATACTACGTTTTTAGGAATATAGTTTCTTTGGATAGAAAGGGATCATAAAAATAATTATTAATTGAGTTTGTAATGTCAATAAAATGTACTTAATAATAAGAGTTACTGAAGAAAAACAGTAATACTAATATTGTATCGTAATTTAATTGATTTTCTTTCACTGTTAAAATTATGGGATTAATTGTAAACCTATATACAGGGTGAAACGAGTTTTTGTGAGCACAATGCATGAATAAAAGGCATTTAGCATCCACTTAAAAAGAAACTTTTTCCCGTTTTCCTGTTTTTTTTTTTTATAATGGCAACTCATACACAATACATTTCATAAAAATAGTGATGATTTGTTCTTTAAACAGTACTTAATTTCGTTTCAAATGGCTCATATTAGTATACAATATACGGGGAGTACCACCAAAATGCTGCCATAGCATCCCAATTGTAAGCCACGCACTTACCTGATTGAATAGTATATTGGTCCCTGGTATTATCGTCCTGTACATCGACATCACAATTCGTATCTATCTCAGAATTTATACTATCTTCACTTGAACTGTCTAGAGTTGTTCTCCCACTGATACTTGGCGTGAAACATAATGGCAAATATTGATATTGTCTTCCATCTTTTGCATCAGAATGAGGTACTGGCAGCATATCTCTTTAAAAAGCGAACATAAAATAATAAAAATGTATTTTGCTACAATAAGAAAGAAATCTATATTGTGTTGCTTAAGCACGGTCTGTAAAACTCCAGTCGTTGCATTTTGCTTCCGACCAATCAAAATGTTTTCAATTTCAAATTCAATAATTGAAACGAAAAAAATTTGTGGGCGAACGTCACCCCTTACTTTTACTTTATCTTATAGCTTATATAATCAATGATATTTTGTAATAGTTCTTTAAATCTATCTTAAAAAAAAATTAAATCGGTCAATTTATTTTACAGGGACGTTTCCAGCTAAAGCGGTTCATACTATATATGTTGAGGTTGAAACTATTTTAAAAACAATGTTAATCAAAATTTTGACAGATACCTCAACCTGAAACCGCTAAGATTACATTGCGTTGTATGAACCAAATAATGTTTCGTAAAATATTTAAATGTAATAACTTGTTTCAGTTTTGAAGGCAAATAACTTACCTTCTATGGGCAATTGATACATTTGAGAGGCTATAATTGTCGACAGCTGCAGATTCGGAGGCAGAGAAGGTGCTATTAATATATTCTTCGTTATCTAGATTAAAATCCTTAACTGTGGACTGACCGCTATAAATATGTTGTGATTCAAACATAGACTGACTCTGGGAGTTATTATCAAATCCATCTCCAAAATCTGGCTCAAAATCTAGATGTTCTTCTTCAATATCTAACACAATACGGATATTACAATTTCTTAATCATATTGTCAACCAAATATGTAAGTCAGACTTGACCAACGTCTTAGAACGATCATGAGGACGAATAAAGGAATATGAGCACAGTTAAATAAAATTGGAAAAAATTTAAGAATATTTTTAAAATAGACAGGCCAAAGATATTGCAGATATATTATACTTAAACATATTTTCTCTTTGAATATGCATAATTTCTTATTGGTAGGTTTACTGAGGCTTGTGGAAATTAAAAACGTAATAGCTGTTTTCCATTGATAATTTATACATGAATTAATTAACTAATTTATTTATGAAAGTAGCTACTATTAACTTTATAAGCAAGACATAGCAAACAAAAAAAAGAGATAGAAAATAAATACATTTTCTTTAATACATTAAGGATCATATGAGTTTATTTGACAACTTCTTCATGAATTCACAATGTAAAACAGTTATAACAAAAATATGCTAACAAATCTTGTTAATTCTTATTAAAATATATTCACATCTTTGGATTGCAATTGTGTTTTATAGCAATAATTGTTTGTTACCAATTACTGGTAACAAGCCTTATTAATGTCAGTTAGAAATATATGCATCAATGCACCCGTAAAATTTTTTACCAAAATAGGGTGATTGCTGTTCAACTGTAGAATGGCTCAGGAAAACTAAATAAATAAAAATTGCTATGTAAAATAAATATGCTTGAAAAATAAACATATACCTATGTTATGTTCTTAATTAAAATTATGAAGAATTCCTCAATTCATGAAATTTAATACCTATATTCTTGCTGAATCTGAAGTTTTTACAGGTATATTTCAGGTTAAATGAATTCATACATTAGTAAAAACAGTCGAGGACTACATAGAAGACAAACTTGACATAGTTCAATAGACAAAAATCGTAAAGGTCCATCTATCATTAGTTGTTTAAATACAAAAAATAAGGTCAACATCCATACCATTTATTTCACTGTTTGATGATTTTGTGGTGCGTCTGTCACATGTTTTACTTAGGGCCACAGAAACGCCACTATCAGCACTTTTACATCTCACATTAATTGGCTTTTTCTTGACGCTTTTCATTCGCATCTCGAATACCATTTTAGGAGGTTATGTTTTCAGAAATATTTAGCACTACATAAGCAATGAAACACACACTTTATTGTTAGATAAATTTTAGTTTAATTTTCAATGTATGCCTTCTTAAAAAAAAAGAGGACCATTTATTTAGGTAATTAAATGTATTTCCTTTTCTCCCACCTTTTATGTTATAAAACATAAGAATCATAAGATACAACCATAGAAAATATAGTACTATATTTTCTATGGATACAACACACAAAATTCAATGGCAGTATCAGAGGCTACTCACTTTCCAATTTTTGACATGTCGGTGTTTTAATACAGGAACGCGTCGGTAGGGCATTGATGAGTAATGTTCTGTAATTCATTTCATTCAGTATGGGTCGCCATTATTCTATGGCTAGAAATTGGCCTCAATGATTTGGGATCGAGGGGGATTATCCCTCTTTATCCTGCCTCATCTCGTGTAGGCCTGGACAGCCTTCGTAGGTGGGCCCCATCCGTCGTCTACCCCGACCGCAAATGCGGCCGGTGTAGGCGCTTTGTGGGACCTCCTTTTGTCCTGGCTGGGCCCCGCCGGCTAGGGCCCTTTCTTCTGGCGCTCTTCTTGCTTCGCCGGCTCGTCTGTGTAAACCCCGGGGGTAGTGTCATGTTTATGTGTGGTATGGTTGGGTAGGGTAGTGCGGCTATGCAGCCTGGGATGCGCTTTGCTAAGG